TCTTTTTACTGCAAGTCGTTTTAATTGCCATGATTAAAAAAGAATGTCAATGAACCCAAAAATGGCATTAATTATACACGCATATATTAAAAATAGTCCATTTTGAGGCTTTCTTGCAACAGGCCTCTGAGCACGCGCCGCACCCTAGCTGGGCAGGTGATCAGCCTCCGGTCAAAAAAGAACGCTGACTGACAAAGCGGGGGTTAGCTACGTGCTCAACTGCAGTCCCAGTTATGAAGATGACCCGTGTGCAGGAAAAGTCCACCCAGGCGCTATCTCGAGCAGCGGTCCAGTTCCCCTGATTACCTGACTCAAAAAAGAATTCTCTTCATTTGCAAAATTTACATTCTAGAGGCGCATAGCAAAGGCACCATCTCATAAAAGATAGAGGAAAGCACGCTATTTCATGGGGGAAATGCCAGTTAATAATATCAAATACACCAGGCTTATACGGCCGATAATAGCTGTTTATAGACGACGGTATCATCGGTGTGTCGTTGTGCAAATAAGCTTCATTCCTAGTTCCCAGTCGCGTCGCCCTAAAATGGAGAACGAGATGAGATAAAATTTAGAGGATGTCACGTAAACTAGTAAAAGAGCACACGCGATTCAAATCTAAGCACACACTAAGCTAAGAGGACCTTGCGGGGAGCATGGAGGGACATTTCAAGAGGATTAGAGACCGAAGAGTAGAACGAAGACATTTTAGCTGGATCACACGTATCGTGCCTGAGCATGACAATTTGCGTTAAAGTCTTAGGGGCGAGTACTCAGATCGGAGAGAAGCAACTAAATTCTTCACTAGACCAAAGTGTTACCAGATCAAGTGGGAGAAAGGGTGGGATTCATTAAAAAAACATTGACGCTCACGACACACAAATCCAAACCAAGTCTGCGACACACGTGGTCACCAAGAGTGATGGGTTTACCATCGAACACCACAACCTGGGAACCAATGCAATTGAATGGAAAAAACCAGTCGCATCGAGGAAGCAGGGAAAACTAAGTGATTTTTCATAACTACTTTGCACCAACTTGAGGGGATTTCAACAAACCCTCTCTGTAGGGATTGAGTGTGGAAAGGGCGGGCTACCCAGTAAGTGAAGGATCTTGAAACTAAGGAGCTTTAAAAGCCTTCCATTGCAAGGAAAATCTAAATGCACTAATCAGAAGCGATGTAAAGTGCTAGTTTTCTACATGTAATATAATCTTAATCAACGCATTGTCAATTTAATTCTTCAGCAATGTCATAACCAATCAAGTGTTGTACAAACTAATGCAGACAATTATAATTACGTCGAATTATTTTGCAAGCTAGTAAGGGGGGTTTCAATGTTTACCACGTACATGCCATTGTCAAACACGAATGCGAGCTTATCTCGTAAAAAACAATTTGCATATATTGAAATCATGGATACAATACAATACATTTTAGTTACAACGACAGGAACACAATGGAGTATTCAATGATAGGCAGCTTCGAAAGAGCCAGCGCAGACTTTGGCGAATGCTATTGTTTAAATCTAAAAAGCAACATTACCCTAAATTGAGTCAACTGAGAAGAATTGATTTAACTGACCAAACTTTATTCGTTGTAATGCTGTCGGACTTCCTATTCTTAACATAGTTTGAGTCAGCAAAAAAGATTCAGAAGCTTAAAATGATCAGGCATGTAAGCTGCGGATACCATTATCATGCGGCGAAATTTTCAACTTTTCGATAATGGAAGAGTCAAGACAGGATACACGAAGCATCTTAATCAATAACCAAACTTCTGCTATTGTGACCGCAAAATTAGCGTTAATTTGCAACCAATGAAAAAAGTTCACTCCAGTGTGCGGTTTGACGGAAGTTTTACCATCAGGAACGAGATATCGAAGATCTGGGGAAAGCACGATCCCCAGAAAACAGATTTAACAATTTAAAGCGTTTCAGAACAACGGAAATTAGGACACATTAAACAGCCAATGGGGCATCTGGCAAAATTTTTGATGCAGGACCCCAAAACCGTTAGTGAATGCATCGAGATATGGAACGAATGGAGATGGCAAATACGACGTTTAATAAGTCTGGCAAAGAAACAGTTTCAGGAAGAAGTCAAGGGAAGCCATCGCGACTTGGTCTACTCTCCATCATTCACAAAAACCTCGTGGAAATTAATGATTTATTTGCATCATTTTGATGGTAATGGGGCTATTGCAACGTTTGCCCGTTTATTGGGTAGTCTTTTTGAGGAGTCGGGATGGCTGAAATATCATCCGATAATGCTCAAGACGAATGTTCGCCCCATGGCTGCAAATTTGTGTAACTTCGGTTTAGTTCACTGAACGTTAATTGCCCTCTGCCGGGTTGGTTAGACCCCGTTGTAATGCACCTGCAGTGCCACGGTAACGCGCGCACCTGTCTTGAGAGGCTCTGAGCTAGAGATGTCCTCCATAAATGCCCCAGTCAAAACAACTTTCCCAGTCTGAATTCATGTCTACGTAGCTGATGGTTAATAAATTAGACCAGCAATGCCAACACTTTAACTATTTATCGAGGTCGTGCTGGGATCGCATTGGTTTTGCCGTAAAATACGCCACTTGCTTTTATCCTAACTGCGATCTGGCGTCACGCCGAGAAAAAAACCCAAACAGACGTGTAACAGGGTCATTAGTTAATGCACTTGCCTTTTGCTGCGTAGACGTGCAGTTGCCAAAATAACAATTAATAAAACCTGACTTCCGAGTTAATCAGGAATAGACGAATGAAGCACGTGGCATTTCCTTGCTTGGATTTCTTACGACGGGAAGTTACCACCCAGCTTCTTGAAATTGTAAAAAAAATACATTCCTGCCACGAAATTCCTTTGTCTTTCTTGTGTAGTGCGGCAGGGAATGGTGGAATTTGTGGGCCACGGGTAATTTAAGGCCAATTAATCCCCGCAGTGAACGCAAGCGGTTTCGAGGCGAACCGTCTTCTAGCCAGCGCAACGTCTAGAAGACTTTCCAGTGCCGTGAGGTGTTGATTTATAATTCAAGGAAATGACGCCACCTTAGTAAATCAGGCTCAAGAGTTTTCGAGGCCAAACAGAGCTCAACTCCTCAAGGTAGACATGGAAGTATCTTACATTCAACAAAGCAAAGGGCTGAAGCCCTCGAGAAGGCAACTTTAATCAACGCAGTGTGCGGAAGAAACGGCTTTTTTCAAGGAATAGAGAGAACCGGGATAAATTGTCTCCACTACCCACAAGGCAGAAGCACGAACGCATTTCGCCGACCCACCACTACAACTGCTTGCAACTCACAGAAAAGCACAAAACAGGGTAAGAGAGGCAATGATGAAAAGCCCAGAGGGAGAAATCGCACAACACGGCTAACCCTTAGACCAAGTACTGGAGCGTCTTCTGCTTTTTTCCAAAATACTGCTGATAAGTGAGTGGTTGTCCGGCGCGATGGCATGGGCATGTGCATAGGGAAAAGGCATATAAACCACAACAATGGCATTTCACGGATGTACGAAATCAGGGCACATGCAGAGTGCGGGGTTGTGCGCTTGCTTGAGTGGAAAACCATGGAAAATGTGATGAATCTTTCAAGAGCCACCACAACTTCGCGTCAACAAATAACAAGGTATGAAAAAGTAGACCAGTGACACTTGCTGCGGACTAGACGTCAAGTTCTCGAATCCCCAGGAAAGTAGTCGCACACTGTGCAACAACTTTCTCGTCTTAAGGAAAGAGGAAACTGCAGAGTTGAAGCTTGGTTGTGACGAATTTGAAGGAGCACCGCGCTGTGTATCGACGTCACTCGCGGACAGCGGCACAGACGCTTGATTCTGGGTGCCCAACCTTCTAGAACGCAGCGATACGCACTCAATTGGTATAATTATGCCTCATTGCCTTTACACGAGTTAAGCACAATGAAACTACTCGACCATAACTTTAAGTGGGTATGGGACTCCATACAAATAAACCTTAAATTAACCATCTAGAGACCAATTCTAGGAAATTTTAAGCCTGTGTAGAGAATAGGCCGATCAAAAAAGGTATTTATGCTTCATTATGATCGTCTTCAGCGATCCGTTACTCTGGCGGATTAATAAAGATGAACATTTTGTTGCAACATTCTAGGCCGAGTTGGGCTTCTCCCGATTTTGTGCGATTTCACTCCCGAGAATTAGCACAAACAAGAGCAAAATTAGTAGTTCAAGAGTTGCAGTGGCGAACGAAAGGTACCGCACTAGGTTATGATGCACTGACTCACAGAGAAAGCGCCTCAATCTGAGCGCAATTCGTGTGCAAAAATATCGGAAATGAGAGAAGCTGAGATACCGAGCGCGTGACTGGCCAAGGAGATTTGTCAAAAAACATACGTTGAAATCAAAAGTAGCTGTTTTCATCAGCAAAGTGTATCTACCCATGAAAGGAGGATGAAAGAGAAACAAGCAACAGAGAGAGAGCGAGAGCGACAAACTCAGACCGTCCGTCAAATGGTCACATAACCCGCAGCGGACAGGCAGGCGGACGAAAAAGAGCACCCTGAAGCGAGAAGCCCCGAAAACAGCCGCACGGTCGGGTGCGCGGTTTGGGAGTGCCAAAGCAAAGTATGGCCCTGGAACAACGTGAGTGATTGTGGCGAGGTCGTGTTTTGCACAACGAGCCAGAATAACACCCCGAAGTGGTGGAGAACTTTGTCTTGCCTTGGAGGGCTACATCAGCAATCGCAAATGACCCGAGCCAGGAGAAATCACATGAGAGGAGCGCGTTAACAAAGCAACAAGACGACAGCATGTGGGGCTCCAACTCTGGCCTGACCCATCAAACTTGAACACAAAACATTGTGGGTACAGAGCAAACTGAGTAACTCTCTTGCACGTTAAGAGATCATTTCAGGGAATGAACTGAGTTTTGAGTGGAAGCCACGCGTTACCGTGCTACGAACATACACCACACAGGGGCCAAGCAACCATTCAGGCAGTAATTGTTTGGGGCCAATGAATCCCTTAAACAGCCACTTTCACTAAGCGGCCATAACCAACCAACCACCCACCGATTCTTTTGGCTTCACGTCACTGTCCAAGTCATGGCTTCCCCCGGGGTGTGAGGGCGCGTCGGGGGGCTGCAGGGGGGCCAAGGGAGTGGTGTCGGCCGGGGTCGCCGAGGCGCAGAGACAGCAGGAGGGGGGACGGCGTCGGGCGGCGAGGTAGCGGCGCGCCTCCCATGCCGCCAGCCGCCGCAGCGGCGTGTACGCGAGGGCCGAGCACAGGAAGACGAGGCCGCACGTGTAGAAGCACCAGTTCAGCGGGTTGGCGGGGTGCGATGTGAGCAAGTAACTGGTGTCGGAGAGGAGGCTGGGGCCAATTTTGACGCCTGAGGCAGCTTCGGAGATTAGGCCTGGAACACACACGCGAAAAGGGGTTGCAAATGCAACCTCGTAAGGTGAAACAGCTAGCTTTGATCGAAGAACTGGATGTGCCTTAACATCGGGCTAATTTCTACTGATTACTTGCAATGTAATCTTAAGTGTCTTAAAATATCAGTACCTAGGGGGACGAAGTAGTACCACATTTGGTTCCGACACCAAGGAATTCATGCGAAAACCGTATTCAGCCTAATCTGAGATTCATTTTTTTAAAAAATAGCTACGTTGTACTAGTCGCATTGGGCCGATTGCCGCTGGACCGAGATACGGCTCGGGTCAAAATTCACCCAGGACGATGCTGTATCGGCCTCAACTTTAGTGCAGTTCTGCCGACCATTACGAAAGGTCATGTTGCTATTTCAGCCAAACACAACGATTCTTGTAATTGTACAGGCTGAGTCACACTCAAAGGGTTAATTCAAAGTTGGGTCAAACAGGCCAAGTGGCTGCTTTTATCAAGACCGTTTAACAAAAGACCGACTGAAATCAAAGGATTCGACACATTAACTACACCGGGAATGAATGCTGCTTGAAGTGGCGCAGACAGCACGTTTACATAAGCGAGCTTACGCTTTTGTGCAAAAACTGCCCTCGCGAAAAGCCATCGCGTTAAGTGCAAATGTGACCAGCGGTAGGATTGATTAGATTTTTGAGCATTAGGAGCCTGAGCATTTGTTCGTCTGGAGAACGTTGCAGTCAGTGTTGGAGCCAAAGCACAAATGTGTGAAAAATAAAGATCAAACCACCCCTGTACGGAATTAATAACAACAATGATAGGTTTCATTTTACGGTTCCTCGATATAAACACTTGAAAGCGTAGCGAAGGTGGTTAGTTAGTTTAGATTGTGGTCCGACGCTGTGCGAGCGTCAACAGCAGGAAAAAGTGGTCAAATATGTGTACTGATATGAATAAAGTAAGACCATTATTACCAACGAATGTGTGCCGACACCTTGGGAAACGGTAGCTCGACTCACCTACAACCAGGGGTCCGGCGACTGCACCCGTCCCCTGAAAGACGAGGAGGTAGACGAACGCTGGTGTCAAGTGGTGAACACCAATCAATTCGACTGCAATCACACTCCGCAGTGAGATGGCAAAGGCTAAAGATGACAAATATAACTTAGTGGGAGTCATTAACCTGATTCATACTCAAGTCAGGACTTAAGTAGCCGATTTTGCGCAGATCGAACAAATCTTTACAGCGACTCTAGCTCACATCATAAAACTAGCTCTGACCTCTGAGTATGCATAAAACAAAGTGGGGAGCGTACTCTCGAATGCTAACACAACTTAAAGAGATATTAGGCCTTGATTAAAAGAATAAGGGAGTGAGAATCAATAACGTGTGCTGAAGTGTTGGGAGATCAAGTCAAATTGATAGCCTTGATAGATCAAAAGTCTGGATACAACTTCTCCGAGGCATGTGATAGGCACTATTGAAAAAAACAACTAACCCATAGAAATATCGGATGCTCACGCTTTAATAAATTCAAGGGAAGTTTGACTTCAGTTTTAACACAAAAAGGGATTAGAATCTCTATTCCAATAAACCGCTCCTGTGCACAATACACAAATGAATCCAGTTAGAGATTTAACAGGCCACACTAGAGGAAGCAAAGGATTCTTCAAAAGTAAGTCGTAAGTCGTTTTCCCCACTTGCATGTGCTTTGACCGGTCACCAACACGTCTGGCACCAACGACGCTTGCAGTGACAAATGGCCCTTACAGTATCTACAATAATGGGCGCTTGACTAGGATGAAGACTCTAAAGATATGAGGCAACAGGAAGGAGGACTGCTGTGGTGTTTTGTGGAGTTATTTGTTGCAACCAGGACCGCTTATAAGAGCGGCATGTTCGGAGTTGCGAGCTAACCGAGGGACTGACTACGAGGACCCCCTTGCGGTTGACCGGTTTGATGCGGTGACGCGCTGGAGGGGGCCGCAGTGAGGTGGTGAGCGTGTGCGGTGTGGTGATGGGGGACCACGACTCACCGCTAGCGACGGTGTGGCCGAAGACGAGGGTGTAGAGCGCGGCCCGGAGGGGGATGTAGCACTCGCACGTGACGATCCCGTAGGTCCCCTTCGGGCAGACGTCCCTCATGGAGAGTGGGACAAGGAGGAGGGCTGCGCCGCCGATCACGAGGGCGACGACGTTCGACACCATAGGATCGGAAAGGCGATCTAGCAGTCGACTCATCAGTTTGGTCGAGCGCTTGGCCTTCGGCACCCCCAATATGTGGTCAATGTAGAAGGCTAGACGAAAAAAAGCACTCAGCAGTAACGCAGACACAAACACCTGGAAATATATTTGTGCGCAAGTCGCGATGAGACTCAAATGCTAGACATCCATTGAGTGCAAGCGGGGCGGTACTCCAAGCGCATTCAAAATGCACTAAACTACTGTTGCCTCCTATTAATTAAAGGTTTTTGTCACCACTCGATCCGCACTAACGAGGAAAACCAATGTCTTATTTTACGGCGCAGTGACTGGTCGAACACAGGACCACGTTTGTGGTGCTTACGAGTACATCCAGTTGTCAAGGCAAACACGAAATATGGCGGTGGAGAACATAGAAATGAGTGTGGAGGAGACGGGGACGAGAGGAAGAGGAATGTGATCGTGAGTTGGTGATGAGTTTCGGAACACATGCCAAGTAGATTTGCAGTCACAAGCGATAAATCAACCATCATTGCCATTCTGCAAGACCCTTAATTAGTACAAATATTTGGCGTTTGGGACCCAGCCTACAATTTCACTTGAACTTTGTACACCACTACACAAGAACCAAAGGTAGGCAGAACAGTGTTTAAGGAATGTGCCCGGCAAGCTTAGTGAATGGTTGGAGGAAACGACTCACAGGGTCAACCTGGTAACAAACACGCACTGCCTTGCAATTCCCAACTGCCTGCGATAACATGAGAACGGTTGTCTTCTAAAAAGCTCAGAATCGAGATTATCTTAACTAGATTACTAAAAGCCAGTAACGCATCCCAGTTACAAGCCCGAAATCGTGGAAGATTACCACTCGAATATTTGGCTTTCAAATTGGCCAGGTTCCCATTTAGCAATTTTGTATACCTTTCGACTGTCAGGTCTTTAATATAAAAGCTATTTGGGTTTGATGTACATGGTATAGCCAAAGCAGGTGGGGATTTAGTGCATCAGAGCGGGTTGCAGTGGTGTTAGTGGGTCAACAGATGGACGAGGTTAGGCACTGTGGCGCCCAGCCCGCGACGCGACAACTCACTTGCAATCAAGCGACCAATCAGGTGACCGAAGCCCACGGTGAAGATGATGTTGCTCACACTCACGAAGCCCTGCGACAGCTGAAGCGACGGACCGAAGGGGCTCGACCAAACCCTCTGGCTGCAGGGCAAACGCCGAACGTCCAGCGACAGGTACAACGGCAAGACATGATAGGGCGCGAAAAAGGCTACAATGAAGCATTCGAGACACAAGTAAGGCACCAAGCTATTCAAACAAATCCACTTTTTATATTTTTTTCTCGCATGAAGGCAGAAGGGGTATCGACTCAAAAAAACACCACACCTTATTACAACACTTCCGACTCAATTGTCAACTGAATATTTAAACAGGTTAGCAGATAACAGCAAGTTTTGCCTTCTCGATGTTGTGACAGAACTCGATGACCTCAACGTAGTTCCATGGGCTTGGAGAGGGAATTTGGATTCAGCACTGGACGAAGTGATGCCACAGGCGGTGTGTGAGATCAAGGTCACGATTTATGGAAGCGGTCCCTTCGACGGTTCGTGGCAGTGATGTCCTTCCTCAACAAGAATTCCACACGTCAACTCCGGGTGAATGAGGGCAATGATTAAAAGGAGTTTGGCCAGCACCGACCGTCACCAAGACTGACTTGGGAAGGGAAGATGGGCGCAACCAATCACAGCTTGAATGAGGCGATCGAGGCAAGCTGAAAATTTTCTAGCACAGGCTGCGATGGGACTCTGCAGGAATTGTTTAGCATGCTTACAATGAGGTCCGAATTTTGTACTTTTAGACCACCATATGTGAGCAAGGATGAACGTTTAGCGAAATTTCTGAGCCATTTTCTTCGCTAGAAAGCGTTCAAAAGTGCATGCGATTTAAATGTATGTCACTATAAAAATACCCAAAGGTCACTACTGTAGGTGACGTAAACATATTTGCGTAACAGTACTTTACATAATACCACTGATAAAAAAACACTGCACTGGGGATTTGCTTTAGCAACCAATGACCTTGAGGCGCGGAAGACCGACGTCTGGAAGCATCACGGGTACAGGCCAGCCTACGGTCTGTACCAACGGGCGATTGGCCTGTAGCGGATTGGCACTGCATTACGTGGCACATGCGAGTACATGAAAATTGCAATGCTTTACTCAAGAATAATTGGGCAGAAAGGAGAGGAACGGTACATATTAAACGCATCATCGACAAACCATGCAGCATGTCAGCCTTACGCTATAACATGGGCACAGGCTCCTATAGTCTGAGTTGTCACTCGTAAAAATCCAAAAAATGCATTACGTGTAAGTACGAAAGAAGTGGAAGACTGTGAATTATTACAACCTCATAAGTACAGAATTGAATGTAGCAGGAGAGTGTGTCCGACTCGGCACGAGGCAGATAAAAACCAAGCAGACAGGTGTGGGAACGCGACTAGATATATGCCAGTCCTCAAATACCGTTAACTACGGTCCAACGAAAAAATCGATCATTCACGGGGGTAAGACCACGAAAAACTCAGAACGATGGGCAGCCTCAAAAAAAGCAAACAACAAGATCCTCTTGAGGTTGAATGACTCACCGAACATGTGGAGGGTGCAAGCAAGAGAAAAAAGCAGAAAAGAGGGGCTGACAAGTAACTGAAGGTCGAGGTAGTCTCTCACACGGGTCACAAATAGCCACAGGCTTTTGGTGTTGTTTTGGGAGTCGGCCGGTCTTGCACCGGCAGCGAGTTTGCAGCCGCAGGTGGGACAGACCGTGGATTGACCGCCCGCCCTCTCCCCATCACGGGTTGTGGGGGTCGCGCTTTCCAAGCCGACCTCCATGGCGCTGTCCAGGCTACGGTCGGAGCCCTCGTGAGCGAGGTCCCTTGGCTCCGTCTAGAGAAAGAACCATAGAATCACTAGTGAAAATGGTACACGCCCCATATGTGGATTGGTCACTTTGATACTTTTAGTGATTTCCAACTCTTAAAATGGGCGAGGTGGTCAAAACGGCTGAAAGTCCTGCCCCATAAAGAAGGCACTTTGCTGCAAGAATTCCATCCGCAGTGACTGCATGAATGATTTAGTTGACGTCTGACTAGGTAAGGGTTATATTTCACGAATGAGTTGGGAAAAACTGCAGTTTATACCAGGGTCGCCATGTCTGGGGACATGAAGTCTTCAGTAGCAAGCCGTTGATCACATACTGAGCCGACCCACACCAACGTGGAACTCCCACAACACAGTTAGCATTCACCAGAAACAGCACTACAACGAAGGGATCTCCATCTCGATGGAGCCCTTGCAGGCTTACCTCGTCTGGGTGCCGCTGGTTTCGCTGTCTGGTTTTCAGCTGTCCGCTCCGCTTGAGCTTTTGATAAATGACTGAACGTATCCTCGCTTTCAACGTGGGGTCGAGGCAAACACGTGACAGTTCCCTGGAGATTGCGCGGTCCGTCTTTGGGTCGATGCTGCTTCCGCTTGAAGAACGGGACATGGATTGGGTTGGAGTCACTTGGAGGCGCGCAGATGATTGATCACTTGTACCAATATCTAATGCATTCACAGATCCTGCCTACAGTAAAACACCGGAGTAGCCTGCAGTTATTCCAACGTAGTATGCGACTTGAAATTAAAACTCCTAAACACGCCACTAGGCCGACACCCCTTAGGCATGAAGTTAGTTGAGCAACAGCTAATTAAGCGGGCATGGTCCAATGCGTAACGGACGCAAATTGATCTTTCGTGCTAATAACACAGACGAGTTTGTGCTTCAAATGTATATGATGCGCAGTTTCAACAACGCACAGAAAACAGGTTAGTGAATAAACGAATAGTTAACTCCGGCCATACACCTTGAGGCATTTTATTTACAAATGTTTGGCTGAAAATTACGAACCGACATTTCTCTAGCTCTGATCCTGGTATGCCAAAACACCACCATTAAAGCTTTGCTTTGTGTACAAACACGAAAAACAGTCAATCTGTGTGTTTTTGGTGCCCTTTAAAATCAATTGTACCGTAAAGACCGTTTATGGTCGCCTGGTGTTCTTAGGTGGCAATATTTTCAAAGATCTAATTCCAATGTTACCCTGAAATGTGGAAAAGATGCGTGCACGTGGTGTTTGTTGAATTTAGATCATTATACCATTATCTTCGCCTGCAACATCCAAGTATGTACACAATGTAATGCGTTTTCGAGATACCCGTACTGCCAAAAAAGAACTCATTTCGCCAATAACTCGACGTTTGTGCTTCAGCACCTCTGATATTTGAACCCCACGAACTTTCACATGCAAAGTAGTTGCTCTTTAGAACTGACATTCCAATATTGCAAGGGGCCATTAATCGACTCGCCCATATGTCCTACTGGGGTAGCTTGTCCCACATTTAAAGATGCCTATTAGGGAATGTAATCTGACCCTGAGTTGACCGACAGAGGAAGATCCAAGTTGAAAGCATCTGAACATACTTTCATTGAAGAACTTTGGTACTTGCACTTCACGAACATTGCAAATCAGACTAAAAGTAATGATGACTTAAAATTATCCGCAATTTGGGCTGTGGCGGAGGACGAAACCAGGCCAGACCACAGAGCGCGCCACTGGTGTCACAGCGGCCGTGCCTGTGCAGGACGAAGGGAGCCACTTGAAAACAAACCCACGCGTGGAGACGGACCGCTTGGATTAATGTGCGTGCGAGCACGCGGCAGCATCAACGAGCGTTCGCTTGCGCGCACAAATTTATGTCCGGTGTGGCCAGGAGTGGAAAAAGGATGCCAACGTACTGATCGAGCTGGGATTCACTTACGACATTGTGAAGGTTTTTATGTGCAAAAATGGACAGTTAAGGGGGCTGGAAAATGTCTCGAAATAAACTCCGGTGCATAGGGGAAAACTGTGAAATAATAAAAGCGGTGTCTGTGTTCCCGTAATCAAGTAACGTTGAGCTCCATGGAATAGTCTGAATATCGTATGTAACGTGGTTACAACCTACTCTGTCGATGCAATTCACGAAGCAGTGACTGCCATAAACTGAGTTCCAGCTTTTGAAAGACCCGTAGAGCGTTGGAACGCGAGCAAACATGTTATTAGGACATCACGATAAGGGCTTAGAAATGATTCAACTATAGTGAATTGAATGTGTACAAAAAATCAGGAAGATGTTGCAAGAATATTTAAACAAGAGATCAAAACATTATCTTATGGCGTTACAACATACAAAAGCTTGCGTTAAAACTAATAGCTGTACTCTCAGCTCCCTTTTGCCTTAATGGCCCCGGAAGTTGTGAATTTGTGAGTCATCTTACGAAGGATTGAAGGAAGTGTTACAACCTCATGAGGAGGTTGATCAGCAAGCGAGAAAACAAGATATGACCCGCACCATTATCTTGATTAACAACTGACTAACGAGAAAAATACTCTGAGGGTAGGTGCAGAGCTTCAATATGAAATCGCGGCCACACCTTGCGCGAGCCACTCTACACTACAATACCTTGGGATTTATGTTCTGCACTTCGCTGACGTTACCTCCGGCACAAAACAGACTTCCTGACGTACTTGTGGTGTCGAGGTTACCACTACTTTACAGTCCTGATTGTTAAACGTTTAAAAACCCGATAACAAAGAATAAACAGACGACAGATACGACTTTTTATTCAGCCGAAGGAAAGACGATTGTGTAGAAGAGCGCATTTCACGGTTTGTGCAGCAGATCCAGTATGCAAGAATCAACGATCGAATGGTCCCATACTTTCTGGCGCCGTAATCAAGCACCAATACGCATGAACGGGTCTGGGTTTTACCGCGGAAAGGAGTGCAAAATGAATCTGCTGCATAAATTTCCACTTTTCCAAACGCGTCAGACAGCAAAACCATCGTCGTTTAAGAATTCGAGTTAGTTCCACTTTCTTGAATGAAGTTCGCCCGCCAGTTTAAGTGAGGTGGAAGTAAGTGCAGCTACATCCCTACGAGTAGTACAGAAAAATGCTTTATGTAAACTGGACGGTCGGTTTTCGCGAAGGTACCATCGCCGAGGTTTTGAACTTAGCGCAGCGCAGACGACGGCTATGAGCAGGAAGCAGTCGGGTGAACAGTTCTCAAATGCCAAATAAACGCACTTTTCCAGACCACTGAGCTGTCGACCCCGCCGTAAAGATCCAGAGAGCGGTAGCTCGCATAAAGAAAACCATTTTCAATCAGGAAATGATTAATGCCAATGAATTTATATGTAAGTGCTCTAATTGTATTTTCGTTTAAAATGAACACATTATAGCGTCTATTCGGATTTGGTAAATTATTGCTTAGAAAAAGCTTTTTTCCGAAACCAATTCGGATTAGCCAAAAACTGCACCTTCGATCATGAAAAGACCAGGGTTACATTTGCATTTCACTCTAACTACAAACCAGGCAGTTATCAGTCCAGGTCGCTAATGCCAATGGCAAATCCAACTAGAGTGTGGATACGACGCACCCAGCAAAACCGACCATATGATACACAACATCGATTCGTAAAAGGAACAAAAGCCTTCGGATGGTAAAGAGGTCTTACATAAGTTTCTTCAAAGAGACCCTCGTGGGTAGGATTATTGAAAGTAAGCCACTGAATTACTTTACCTTGGTGGAGTCAACGACGGAAATACAGACCGTCGGTGCGGTGCTCTTGTCGGCGGTGGAGAGCGGTCTGCGTACGGCCGATTCGGTCCTCACCGAGGAGAGGTGACTGTGCCGCGGCAGTGAGCAGTACTCCGAGTGAACGGAGCAGAATTTGGGCGGATGGCTGTGGGTGCAATGCCCCTCCGCCTCCTCCCCAACGCCGGCGTGCGAGGGAACCCCGCGAACAGGCTGGTGGTGACTGCCAGAGGACAGCTTCTTGAAGACGTCCGTCATGTCGGGACACCGCATGCCGGGCGCGATAACGGCCTGAGCCTCGAGCTTCTGGAGAATCGCGTCGGCGATGCGTATCACGCCGGACCTGCTAAAGTCACGCGATGTTGTCGATAGCACCAAAGGCCGGGGATTTGGAAGCTTTCAAAGAGAACAGTTGCACATTCACCAAAGAATAACCCCGAGATTCGCCATTTCACGCTCTCTCAACACATAAAATTTAGCCCCAAAAAGCCCATCAAACAAAGCAAATCATTTCAGGTTTCTGTGCTCAAATCTGCTGATTTAAACTTTAACTTTGTTCACGATATCCCCTTATTAAAGGGGAATTCGTTTGTTTGATTGAAAATGCCGAAATTTTGACAATAATCCATTGGAGCTTAACGCTTAAATGATCAAATCCCCAAAGACTATAATAATCGCAATAGTGGCAACATTGTTTTACTAGTTAGCTCAGCAGCATAACAAACTGAAAGCTTTGTTGCAGTTTTGTCAAGGCAACACCAACTCACAGGCGTAGTGACCAGCTCTCTGCCGGGAGCGGCGTCTCTGAGTGAAGAGGGCCGATCCACCGAGGCGGTGGAGGATGCGAAGGTAGCGGGGTTCGAGTTAGTTGGCTGGGGTAGCGCCGGCGGGCTGAGGTTTGTGGACGTCGCTCCAGCTGCGGCGGCGGCAGCAGCATACGCCACCGCAGCTGCCTTGGCCATACTGTAGCAGGCCTCGCTTGGAAGGGAGATGAGCTCGTTGTCACGAGTAATCACCATTCCGTCGAGGCTTCCAGTAGACGAACTTATTTGGCGAAACTTCTCTTCCATGATCCGAGACCATATTCTCCCACTTATAAAAAAAACTACAGCATGTTAAACCATGCATGACAAGTAAACGATAATTCAAATCACAATTCACAGGATTTCTGGAAAGCAAGGTTTGGTTACTGTAGCTTCAAACTAACAACACTGCATACCGTTTGGCTGAGCTTTTGCGCCGTCTTGAGGCCTGGCCGGAGGCTCGACGTAGTTTCTCGCGGCGAACGATGGCCAAGATACGTCGACGTTGGAGCCTTTCTACTTCCTCCCTGGAGCGACGCGTGGATTCCAACGCCTTGATCACCTGTTGTACCTTAACTGGGCGAAACAGGGCAATAACAACCTAAAAAAAGCAGTAATAACATGCAAAACAGAAGACGGAGAACGGCCACCATAACAAATATTTAAATTCAAATAATATCTTGTGAGTTTACCTAGAAAAACTGAAACAACTAAGCTGCAGAAATAGTAGTTAGAGTCGCAGCAATGATTCTCTGCACAGGTAAGATAATAGAACACAAATAGCTGAAGCTTGGTGTAGAATTATGTGATTCACGTAAATTACATCTAAAGCACATTCATAACTGAGAATGGGAAAAAGTGGCCAGAGTTGTCCTCCACTTCTGCTGCCATTTGTGGTAAACAAAAGCAGAAATTTTAAATATCGAATTCTTCTGTCTAGTTTCCAATTTGACAGTATATATACACCCTGCATTTGACTTAGAGACTTCTTGACATGGGTGTAACCATCAAAAGTGTCCATGAAAATTACAAAACAAAGAGACAGCTTGATTCATGGATGCTTTTGCAAAGTACCACCTCAATCTGTGGTAGTGCTTCAGATTTCTGTATCAAATCTACGACCGTATGAATTGATTGATGAATCACTTGCATATTTCTTAATACATTGTTTATTCTTATTCCTATCACCAAAAAATTAATACTCATTTGCACTTGTACGCGGCAGTATACTTAACGCTAAGGACAGGAGGCTATCCGAACCATGAATTACGTTCTGCGTATCCCACACTGAATGGTTCAATCAACGGCTTTAGCATTAATTGTTCGATTGACAGTAACACCAGAAGTGTGATTTGCGAACTTATTTGAAATACAATCATGTTCCCTTGTTGAGTATAGTTGCCTACGGAAAGATAGGATCATCTGCGTCCTCTACATAGTTAGATGACTATGGCGTCAGCAGAGTGGATTGCGATAGGGGTAATGCTTACAAGTAATGCTTGATGCCACGAAAACCGGTAGTGGAATGAGGAAATCTCATGAATTATAATGCTCTACGTGGTGGGCGCTAGCCATTATCATCCACTACTGACGCAAAAGTAGATTCCCCACAATCGAAAACTGATCTTTTTAAATTCAACAACAAAACAATAGCCTTTTATTCCCTCAAGTGCAAGGCAAATGGCTTTTTGAGATGGCTTTTTTCACAGGTGCCATTCAAACCGCGTTTCAAGTCTCCAACACGTGAGAATCAAAAACAACCCAAGGCAGTTTTTGCTGGTTCATTTTCATGAATTTTGGACAAAAAAGTGGGAATTTGAGGTACAAGTTAAATTGACCGAATTAAGTGTGATGCATTAATTAATTTTTATCACATTGCGTTTCAGACGTAATGACTTTCAAATGCTAGAATGAGAACAATGCATACCGAAAGCTGGATGAACACAGCCCCGTAGATGATAAGAACTCCCCGCCACGTGAACCGCCCAACAGCGGAGCTCATGCAGAGGGACATGGCGCAGGTTCCGACGCCGGAGCCGCAGATCGCCAAGCCCACAGCCAGCGCGCGCCGCGACTCGAACCACTGCGCCACAATCGACAGCGAGGGGAAGTAGAGGAGGCCACAGCTCAGACCTTGGAGAAAAAACACCAACGAACCACATTTGAGGCCACCAGAGCGTCAGTGATGAGATTAGGAAGCCCTGCACCCAGGAGACAACATGAAAGCTCATCCCAGACCTTACTGTCGGGGATGTCAACATGTAAATTAACACACGTGATTTGTGACGTCGATCCACTGAGCTCTGTGTACTTTATTACAATTCTGCTGTCAAGCCGCATTGGTGTTCACACCAACAACTCATCAATCAGTGTTCTTTACTCAACTCATCGATCTCAGATCGCCAGGAGACACAAGCGGGCGCACCGGAGCGTCCACACGAATTCCGCCTCTACTTCCGCTTTGGGCCATCTTGTACTCGACCCTTTGGTCCACCCAGTAAAGCCTTTTGCACAAGCGCTAGTCTTCGCTTATTCTGTGGAGCCTTCGACGCGCCAACGAAAGGGTTTCAACTATTACCTCGGGGATTTGCATCAATATACCGGGATAAACGTGAAGTCGAGAAGACAACATGTGTTGAGAAATTACGTATTTTTTTAGTTTGTGTTTATTGGGATTGCAGTTAAGCTCAAACCCAACAAAAAGTTCCTTTTTGAAGAAGGAAGTCACAACTAGACAACAGCTTTACAGACCCAGAGGCCAGTTAAAGTTGGAGTTGAGCTGACAACGTCAGTGTGATCACGGGTATACGTTGATTCTCGAACAACAAAAGTTACATCACGATTCGTGCAGTCTTTTTAAATAATAATTTTATCAAAATGCAACCCTGGGGGTTGTCAATTAAACCAGGCACCAGGCAGTGGAGTTCGGGCGTGTTACAGTAGCGTTCCTCAACAAACAGCTTTTTAATCATTTCCACACAAAAAAATTAAATGAAAGGGAACACGGGTGTTGAAGAAGGCGAATTCTAACTACACCAGAATCCAAGCTCTCGCAACGCTCGTGTAGCTCTCACTCGCAGTGCACTGGCAGGCTTCAATCGCAATGAAACAACGACTTAAGCGCGAGGGCTGGGCAAAAGCCTGAGATCAAACACTCGGTCATTTCCATTTAACCTTTATTGTACGAACATAAAAATTGATACAGTCATCTGCAAAGATGCCATCAAATGAACGTCGTTCATGCGCATAAAGTTACTACGAACACTTTATAATGGCAGCATTTTAGTAGTCGCAAACTACACATGCTTACTACTTAAAGTCAATGAAAAAGTTCACAACAGAGAAAGGTAACAACAAGCGGGAAATCGTTCAAAAACATACCTTTCTTAGCACGGGACAACTAAACAAAGCGTTAACCGAAGCAGCCAGACCCATACTTTTCTAGTCCATTATAAGTACACGCCTAAGTCAATCCTGTCTATGTACACAACACAGTAGAGCCATGTTAAAATCCTTAAAACACTACAATGTTTAGATTTTGGCAGATTACTTCACATGAAGACAAGCTGCACACGCCGCATGCAAATCCTCCGGAAGGCCTATTGATCGTGTCCAGTGTGTGTGTGTGGCACATGGCACTCGCGTACCCCCAGTGGATCACCTAACGCATCTGTCAATTGGCGCATTTGAGCGACTAGCCAGTGAACAAATATCCTGAAGGCAGGAAGTTTTGATTCCATGTGGATTTATTGGTGCATTGTCGCCTGAAATGATTGTTTATCGCACGCCTGGTGATATAATGGGAGGCATTCTGCGGGCCCTGGTACAGTCGCCGTCAGCTGACCTCGTGTCGACGTCCGATACTGGTACGGATTGGCGAATTTTTTCTAGCTTGTTCCCCCGATTTCTGGCCCAGTTGGCCTATATCTCATTTTTTATTTAGCCAAATTCGAAGGTTAAAAACTAGCCTTGACGTTGTTTCAAAATACTGGAACATGGCTTAAGGAATTTGGAAAAAACACAATGGAAAGGCCAGGTGCACAACGCAAGTATTCAAAACAAGTCAACCATAACAGAACTGCAAACATGTCTTGGTTGGTGCTTCCTGTAAGCGAGAAAAAATGAAGGTACAAGTCATCAATAGAACCATTACGATCTAGTATCAAGAAATTTGGTTTGCTTTTTAACAGATAACCATAAATTACATAACGTAAAAGGGGACACCCCCAACTTATGCGTTACTACAATGCGTCTTATCAGAATAGTGGCAAGAGGAAGGGTGGAAATAGTCGCAGATAAACCAAACACTGCAAATCCATTGAAGGGGAATTAAGAAGAGATAAAGAAATCGACTACCTCCCTCGACGTTCTCCAAATAGCCAATTGTCCACAGATTCTGATTTGGGTTTGATAAGGAGGAGACAGCTGCTGTGCAATGCCTCGTAGGAAATTCGAAAGGTTAGTAAGTTCTGAGTGCCGAAAATGCCGTATTTACTTCCAATAAATGGAAAGCTTAATGATTATCGACTGAACGTCGTATACAGTGAAAGCGTATTCACGCAGAGAGGAGGCGCACGACGAAGCAATGACTTAGAAAAAGCAATCGGAGCAACGAACCTGACTAAATGATTCCGGGATCTTAGGCAATGAAGATTCAAACATTAGAAAAGGAAATAACCTATTGATTAATGAGAAACAGTTGTACGTGACATTTAATGGGAACGATTCGATAATTCCCTTGCATAAACCAAAAAAACAATCAAGAAAATTCAGATAAAGCGATGCAGAAATTGCTTTTAGCTGCCGGAATAGATTCACGAGACATTAACATGGTGGACGAAAACGCCAGCACGACGATCCTCTTAGGCAAAAGAAGACACTAAAAGGAGTGCTCACACCCGCTAATTCATTCACGCGAATACCGAAACTGAAGTAGGGCTTGATAGTGGCAGAAGTCTAGACAGTCGTACAACCAATAATCTATTCTAAACGCTTAGTATTTTGCAAGTGTCCGCCCAAATTCGAGGTCCGGTGGAATTAAAAGCGCAATACGAGCGTCAGACCTATAAAACGGGCTTTAATTCACCCAAGAAAACGAGACAGAGTAAAAGGCGGTGCAGTAGGAAATGAAAAGCCGTTAGAATGACCATAACTTTTGAAACATTTATCCTAACACTTCTCCCAAAATGGTTTAATATATTTATTGACTTGGTGCAAACAAAAAAAATCTCTTTTAACGTCGAGGGGTTTAAAAATGCTTATGACTTGAGTGCAAGAAAACCGGCCACATAATTACAGTAGGAAGTGCTTTAGAATCATGTAAAAATAAAACCAACAGCTGTTACTGCGCTGACGAAGGCGAATTAGTGGACACACAAACAAGCCTCCAGCTAAGTGCCATTTCCGGTTGAAATCATTCCAAAGTGGTCGCCAAATAGGCCTATGCGCATCCATATATTTTGAGGGTTCCCTGATTTGCGTGCGATAGGTGACGTCATTTTGGATTAGGCAATATCAGACTCAACGGTGCAGCCTGTGACGAGATCACGGACTTCATTTGCCAAACGGTGCAAGACCCATCACATGCAAGTCTGTGTGCTTCGGGGTAATTCCCCTGTGCGAAAATACAAAGGGCATTACAAGCAACGAGACAAAGCTCTGAATAAAAATGATTTTTTTGGGAATTGAAAGCCCAAATTATAATGGCTAAACAAAAGTCGCCTTCTTTTTTCCCGTCAAAATTGTCATACGCCTGCCCACATAACACTAAACCCGGAAATCGTCGTGCGGATTCTATGAAGGCCACAGTAACTGGGCATTCTGTATAACGTACTGATTAATAAAGTGCATTTTACTGCATCAAAACAACTCAATTAAACACTTATTCCTCAAATTCCGCCCTGTTGCAGTCCAAATAAAAACCTGGTTTCAGGAATAAAACGACTATTTTTACCGCCCCACACAATACATTTCCAAAAATACAATCTTTGGGCTTCGCTAAGCACAGAATTTAGCTTTTTTCAACTTCGCACGAAACCCAGCTCAGTATCCAGGATACGAATCCCGTGCAAACTCAGAAGCGCGATCCGACATTTTCAACATTCGAACATCAAAAGTGGCATCAAAACCACTACTGGTAGTCAGTAATCGCTGGCGTCTTGAGAAACTCGGATACAAAGTATGGAAATTCGTAGAGTAATCGGCTAGAATACTTATTGTAGCCATCAGCTTTTGCACCGTAGTGGATAAAAGAATTATGGAAAGAAAATGAACTCAATATAGTCACGGAAAGGGAATGGATATCGACTCACTCGAAAGCCCACCTTTCAGAATTGCAGGCTCACCGTGCGGTGATTTATAGCCCTGTCTGAATCACAATTCCCTGGACGACTAACTCCAGACGTAGTATCATACACGTAGCCACACATCGTGCCCAGACTAGCACCGTAGGGGCTAGCAGAAATCTCACACAAAGGCATTATATCATGAACGATGCAATCAGAGGTACCTGAATGCATCTAGCAGCATACTTCGAAGGATTTGAAAGTGACTTGCCTCCGCAAATTCCGAAGAGCAACGCGAACGTTTTCAGGTTTTCAAGAAACGCGCTCCCTACGAGGACGAGGCCGGAGAAGACGGCGCTGGCCATCGCCACCGGCCGACAGTCAAACTGGTTGGAGAGGACGTTAGCAAGAGGACCTGTGGAGACGAGGCGACACGACGCAATAATAGATTTGCAGCAGAACAGGTTGCAATATCTCGAGAAATCAGTTTAAGAAACATGCTGTGTCCTTGTTTGCAGTTACATGAAAGTTTGCGTTTAAGCTTAGGTAATTTGGCCCGCTGATTTCCCAATGTAAACACAGAAGAGCCACAAGTAGAACTCAGTACTTAAAATTAGCTTTCATCTCTTCTGCTCAAGTTGCCTTTAGTGCTGTTAATGAGTAGTTACAACACGCACGCACACAACAGTGAGAAATGCTCACGGTGAGTTTCAATTACAGAGAGAGCATTGAACGCGCGTGAGACCTCGATCGAGTTAATTTTGCCATAAGAGATCAATAAGTCGGACAAAAATCACGTCTGTTTTGATTTTGCCAGGATTTTCACTGAAGACGATTAGGTTAACAGGTTTGATAGTGATAACATTTGAGCAAAGTTTTGAACAAAATTCCAGGAACATATGCGTTTTTAGGGATTTTATTAAGCGAATCTGGGTATTGAACTGTAAGTCGAAAAGGTGTTGCTGGTGCTGTTACGAGTTATAGATGCGCAAATAAATCAGGCAGTGACGTGGTGTCACCAATGTTTGACAGCCAATTAGTCATAATCAATCAAAAAGGAGCCATAGTGAAGGTTATCGTCAGTACAGAGTCCCGTCAGGACATAAGGGGCTTTGTAACAATGAAATAGCTCGTAAATTCAGCACTACCGGCTCAGCCTGAACGAAAATACGCTTTACCAGACAAAAATGCGAGCTATCTAAAATCAAAATACCTTAATTATCAGACAAACGACCAGGGTATCAGTTGCATTTTCCTTTGATATAAGGACATCAACTTGAATCTCAGGTGGATGTGTATCGAAACCGAAAACAGCCAGTGGATGGCATAACCGACATAGACGTCAAAATCTAGTACTGTTTGCCACAGATACTGGCTCAATGCGAGATTGGGGCCAGTTTTTACTGTCACTGCTCAAAATCATTAAAGAGAAATAAGAATCTCCCGTAAATCGAAAGAACCTCTGATTAAGTGCCAAATTTTAAAATCCGTCATTTTACGCGTTAAACAATATTGCTTGAAAAGAGGCTAGGCTTTAAAGTAACATTCTGCATGCACTGAATACTCAAATGGCGTCCTAAAAGAGTAAAATGTGAACATCTTGCCTGCCTCCATTAACTGGAACGATTCAAAATAGTAAATCCTGACAACGACCAGAAGACCTACTCCGAAGGGAGTACAAATAAATAAATATCTTAAATTTACAAGTCTGGCATCATTCCATTTGGCTAAATGACGAATTTTAGTGTGGAAAAAAGAAGAGTGCAGCCTCTCGAATCGTGACCCGAAAGCAACAAAACTTAACGGCGACAATTCGTTTACATTCACAATGCCTCGAGATCGCTGATCCCCGCTATTTCCGTGTTTCACTGTAGTGAATTATGCGTTCTTAGGAATGTCGTGGGGAGTAATGTATACTGTGCCTGATGGCGTAAGCAAAAGTGTGTGAAAAAGTGGCACAACGCAGACATGACGGTTGGACTTTCAACGCCAAACAAGTACGATGTCCGGATTTACATTGTGTGTAACTTGGCTAGTGGCCTGGTTGATAAGCAAGGAATGTGTGGCTCATTGATACAAACTAATTTGAAGCCTATAGATTGAAAAATCAGCCGATAACCTGTCCATTAACTTTTATCGTGGTGGCATGTGAAGGTGAAGCGAAAGAGTGCGTGTATCAGTACCGAATCTCAGATGGAAGAAGGCCCACTGTCAAGTAACCAAAAGCTTCCACATAAGACCATGCGCGTTAAAATAGGTTTCGTGTCTACATTTACAGCGAGGAATGACGGCTTGGTTTAGATGTACTTGGGTGACAATTTCACGTAATGACTATGCATAGCGCCTTTTGCCATCAACTTGAATCGACAACCCTAGTGTTCGTTGGGTATGCTTCTAATGACAATTGAGAAGCACAAAGGCCTTTGCCTCCAACACCGAGACAAACCAATGTTAAAGTTGGATGGAAATTAGTCCATGCACTTGACCCTGGAAACCGGCGTGACTTGGGAATGCACGCGCAGCGGTCGGCACACATGCGCGCAGAAATGGAAACAACAGATAAACTGAGGTATGACGGATATTAACAATCGTTATAGCTTCTAACTTATCCGTACTCACTAAAACATTTTACCTATTTTATTAAAACATTTTGAATAAAAAACATCAACTAAAATAGTGGTACAACAGGTCCCCCACCTAAGTAATTCGGTCCAAATAGTTACTAAATAGCTGCAGTGCCCTACTAGGAAATGACAAATGATAGAAACATTGGCGTTAAAATACACTGATAGCCTACTACATTTTGACTGTATTGATGATTTGGTGGTATACCAGCGACTTAGATGACAGCGAATGACAGCATTTAAAACGGGCTTGCGGAGTTTGAAAGTGATTTTTCCCACAGAATAGCTTATTTTTATGGCTGATACGCCCTAAAAAGCGATACTTGGTAGTAGATTAAAGAGAACACACAGTAGCTTGCATGGCCTTACTAGCGTATAAATGCATCCCACCAAGAAGTCCACCTGGAAGAAGGTAAAGTAAAAACGACGGTTCAGTGTTCCCCAAGCCAAAAAACGAAGCACTTTCCATCATTTCCAGAATGTGCAGTCCGAAAGAAAAGATGAGGCCATCCACTATCGCCGTGCAAGCAAATGAGCTAAACAAAACCACCCAGGCCCATGAACTCCCCATGGAGGTTGGTATCGAATTACCTAAAAAAGGGAATATTTTTAACAGCCAATAAGAAGTGGAAACATGAGTTGATGCTGCCAAACATTAACTCACCGTCATCCATTAGTTCTTCTAGGTGCTGCACTTCACTTGAGGATGGCTTTTTAGGGGATTCGGTCATTGTGGCCCGCGACTAAACGCTTGGTGCTTTTAAGGCAACATACTTCAGTATCCATTTTAAAAAGTAGAAATTCCCTTGATTAAACTAATTCTTCTTTGGAACAGATATACACTGAGGAGAGGCACTTTCATGACTCCGTGGACTGAAAAAAATCAACCGAACAATTACATTTTATTCAGTATCACGAATGCCTTGAACCATGTTTTGTAGTCAGTACCGACAGTAAGGGAACGATCTTGTCCAAATGCTAATGTTAGCAGGACTAGTGGTCATAGCGTAAACACGTTCCACAGCATTTCTACACCATGTGGCCGTTAGCATACGCCCAACTACCTACGAGAGCAAAAATGGTTTTGGGCTATACACTGGTGCCAAAACTAACCATTCATAGTCTCACAGGTGCACACACCTGTTTGTGATTTCCAGTAACTATATGACCTTCCACAGTTATCCTCCAACAAAGTTTAGTTCTTAAGTCCAACCCTATCCCATTTAGTGGACATGCTGCAACACTGACAACGGGCAAACACCTCTAACAAATAACGTCATTTATGCTACTGCATATGTGGGCGAATGGGGGTTAAATAAACATCCATGCTCGCGAGGGGAACTTGGTGAGGGTTTTGAAATATTATGTTATTTAAAATTAAGGTTAATTTTTTTAAAAAAATGGGTGTTGAAATAGTGTCTATCCATTTTCGTAGGTGTAGAAATATAAAAAACAACACGAGACTGCCTATCGGCACATAGGAACCAATGAAACGGGTGTAAAGGTAACGATCTAGTGTTACCGATATTTCTTAAGACCCAAAGGATTAGAAAAATACATCAAAAAGGTCAACAGGATTGTCATCCCATAAATAGAAAATCAGAGTAATGTAAAAGAAGACGTTCCAAGGCGGGACAAATGGACTAAAAGACATACTAAATATTACTGACAGCAGCACGACACCATTTGAAACAAAGTGAAAGTTCGCGAAAAGGGTCTAGAATTATTAGGGCTCAGAACAATCCCTGAAGGCAAAGTTTGGTAAAAAAGGTATTGTATCAGCTCCATAAGTGACCACATAGAAGGTAACGAAGCCGTTATCACAAATACCTACACAATCTTTGAGTTCAAAGCGACATTGAGAGAAGCCAGAGTCTACTCACTAATACCCCAAAAAAATCAGAAAATTCTACAAGATTACGGTTTGAAATACGGGCAAACAGTTAGAGACCGTTTAAAGATAACGGCGAAGAAATTATCTTATAAAGACAAAAGATAGACTACACTTTACTTGGTTAAATCAGTTAGTACCTTTAATTTCCGTTGTTACGCAAAGACAGCAATTATGGTCTGCTAAAAGTGCCCTGGCTTATTTTTCGTGCTCATGTGTTAGATACATGAAACATGGTTTGAATGGCGTTTGTGAATTAAAACTTCACAAAAGCCATTTTTATTGAATGTAACTTGGAATACTAGGAAACAAAACAACATTGAGTTGTTACTGAATAAAAAACAATCTGGGATTCAGAAAACATTACCTTGGTGAATCTACCTTTGCGTCAGTAGTGGATGATAATGGCTAGCGCCCACCACTCATAGCACGATCAATTCGGACAAGTAATCCGTGAGCTTTCCTAATTCCACTAGAATGTTATGGGCTAACTACCGGTTTTCGTGGCATCAAGCATTACTCGTAAGCATTGCTCATATCACAATACACTCTACTGACGCCATAGTCATCTAACTGTGTAGAGGACGCAGATGATCGTATCTTTCCGTAGGCAACAATACTTAACAAGGGAATATGATTGTTTTTCAAATAGGTTCAAAATCACAACTATGGTGCTACTGTCAATCGAACAATTAATGCTAAAGCCGTTGATTGAACCATTCAGTGTGGGATACGCAGAACGTAATTCAAGGATACAATAGCCTCCTCTATCATTAGCGCTAAGCATACTGCCATGTTCAAGTGCAAATGAGTATTAAGTTTTGGTGATTGGAATAAGAATTAACAAAGTTTAAAGAAATATGCAAGTGGCTCATCAATCAATTAACACGGTCGTAGATTTGATACAGAAATCTGAAGCACTAAGACAGGTTGAGGTGGTATTTTGCAAAAGCATCCATGAATCCAGTAAGTGAAAGTGTATCTGAAACAGGCAGATAGGTTGTCTCTTTGTTTTGCAATTTTCATGGACACTTGATGGTTGCACCCATGTCAAGAAGACTATAAGTCAGGTGTAAGGTACATATATATAAGTTACTGAATAGAGAATCAAGTAAAAGGCTTTAATATTTAATGTTAAAACTTTTGTTTACTAAAAAATGTGAAGAAAAAAAACAGCAACAAAAGACAACCTACGCCATATATTTTGAAATAGCCACGCTTCACGGACGTCTTCTAATTCTAAACGGGAAACAGTTGAACGAGTCGAGATAATGACCTTGTAATCGTCAGAAAAGTGTTCAGTTGTTGAAAGTGACTTCTGAAGACAGAGGACGAAATACATTCTTATTATACTAATTATTTAAAGGTAAAACTGAAATTGATGCAAAACGTGGTTTTTTCTATTATAATATTTTGGATTTTTATCGATGCTGACTTTTGATTCATAATGCAACAATAAGTCTATATTTTTTTGTATAAACAAGAGACGTCAAGATTTAACTTTTCTCTAAAATTTAGAAGAAAGGCTTGCCAGACGTGTGAAATTAGGGATTCTAAAAGTATATAAACTAACAACCTCATCATGTAGTCGATCTGTTCAACCAATTTTAATTTAGAAATCCAGAATACCTAAAAATGTATGAAAGAACAAGTTTTTTGATCAGGATTTAATTTAAAGGCATCTTTGCTCGCAATAGCGACGATTTAACCTGCTGGGATTTTTCACGGTGCACATGACATAGTAAGTTGCGGTTCTTGATAATCCATTTTTACTATTCTGTGTTTGACTAAGAGCAAAATTTTTTTAAATTTATTTCTCAAGAATTTAGCTTAAGTTTCGTACAAACAGCTTACCTCTACATTCTTGCATCCTTAATTTGCTAAAGTCTATTTAGAGGTCACACGTAATGGCGGGTTATCTGTTTCGCCGTTGCGGTGTGTAAATAGGATTGGCTTTGTAATGGTTCTTTTGTGTTTGGCAATAAGTAAAACCTTGTTCGTTCCGTTTAATTTATTTTACTTGCGGCTCGCTTGGGATGGTGTTATTTTTCCGCAGGTCCGAACTACCACTTTAACACGTATATACGCGTTATTATTTTCCAGCCGTTATATTTTAGAATGAGGCTTAAGTCAGCCCTCCCTTTTGTCTTTATTATTCCGTGGGTTTCTGTTAGACAATGTTTTGATATAAGCTAACAAAGTCTTGCGTTGAGTAATTCCTATATTATAATTTCACCTGTAAGGTTCGAATAATAAATGAAGAAAGAATTTGGTACTGAGCAATCTATGGCGTTACTTAACCTCTTTTTTATAATTTTGCGTGCAACATGTGATGAGTTGTCTTGGTTGGACAAATCGTACTTGTTGATACGCGTCTTGGACTGAATGTTTTGAGCATCCTTTCTGCCTAACGCTCTGTTATAATTAATAAGTAGCAAAATTCTTCGTCTGAACTTGATCCAAGTAACTTTGGCAGTGGTTATGTAATCCTTAGAGTTCACTGAATCGCACTGTGAAGCACACTTGCATCTGGACGGGTGATCAAACGTGGGGCACAGATTCTTCTGCCGAATTGTCTTCAAATGATGTCAATAAGCGCCGTTTTTTTTGTGGTATCGATTAATTTTTGGACCTTAAAACTTTGTATTGCCAATGCCGCTACCGGCCTTGCTTTGCGATTGGTCGATACATTTGTTTACGTTTAAGGCCTCATGATGTCTCACTTGTTGTCTCCTTTGCGGCGTTCAGTCGCGTTTTTCGCCTCGGACACCTCCGCATGGGTCTCCACAATAGGTCTAGAGGTACATGCACAGCTGACTAGTGCTCGTTCGAAGCTCTTCTCTCCTGCTTGTTACTCATTTACAGCACCACCAAATACTCAAATTGCTCCTCTTGATGCTGCTCTCCCTGGCTCCATGCCTGTAAGTCAGTTTATTTTACTGACAGCGTCCGAAAGTTTGGCCTTCCTAATTAGCCTATTTTCAGAATTATGATTTATGGTTATGTGTGTTTAACAACTCTTGTTCTTTATTCGTCTGTTCTTAAACATCTCTCATATTTTAATTTAATTTATATTTTACAGACCAAATTTAATGCATTGCACCCTTCAACCACCACAAAAGTAGTTCGTCAGACCTTACTCGATGAGTTTAGTGGCCTCCATGCCAGCACCCACTTTACTTGTACCGAAATTTGTTCCTCGACTTATTTTATATATCAATGCCGATTATTTTTCGCTTATGTTATCGTTGATTTCTTGGAGAACTTCGGATTAGGTAGTGTCTCGTGCGTAAATGTATTTTTGTATTGTTCCGTCGCTTCCAAGTATCCCAAGACCACATTTTAGTGTTTTAGACGTTTTCTTACCAATATGAGTACTTGGCTACGCCGGAAGTTTTTTCTCCGCACTATCATTAACCTTGACTGTCCACTGATGCTTCTAAAATCCTCATTAGCTTGCCAACTTATACCCACTCACTCAAATTAGAGTAGAGCGTTTTGTAAGATATTTCCGCTCTAAAAGCCCGACCGAACTATAATGCCTGATGTCATAAGTTCTTGTACAATAATCAAATATTTGACCCATTGATGTCGTTAAGTATCTTTAATGGAAAAGTATTCTACTCTTATGCTTATTTCCTAATCCAAGTCAGCCTAGACTTTCAGTATTTTGCAAATGCCAACTTGAGGGAAATTTTATCAGGAGTAATTTTTGGCTGTCTTTAGTCCCCATGTCTTGGACTGAATGCGACTTAAGTCCCCAAATTCTTCCATATTTGTGCTCAGTGAAGTTACGTAACTGAATTTGAGCATTTGAATGCATTGTAACTGGACCCTTCACTTTATACCTCTATTTAAGTGACTCTGTGTGTGTCTTTGCAGCTACTAAATCGTGCTTGTGTGGAATGGGCTGTAGTAGCTGGACTAGCATTGAACTGTCGCATTAATCCAACCTCAAGGTTTGACCGAAAGCACTACTTCTATGCCGACTCCCCCGCCGGCTATCAAATCACTCAGCATGCCTCTCCAATTGCAGAAAGCGGGTGGCTGGATTATGTCTGGAAACCCTCCGACCATGAGGCGCCACCCCAAGTTAGCAGAGCCACGATTAAGCGAATTCAACTGGAGCAAGATACGGCCAAAAGTCTTCATGACGAAGAAGGTGGCCGAAGTCTCATCGACCTCAACAGAACCGGTGAGTAGCGCCTAGTTCTTTTAGTGCATGTACATTTTCAAGAGGTCTGAGCGCCATAGTTTGCGTACTTGCTTGTTCCTCACTATTTAACAGTCATCACAAGCGTGAAACCCGTTTTTTCGACTGATGGGCCTGTTGACGTTGTTGCGCCTTTGCGTGGCTGACTGTTGTCCGCTGCTTCCGTCCACGGTTGAAAACCCTACCCTGGCATCTATTTCCTCCATGTATTTTTCTCAATCAGGCGTTGGTCTTATCGAAATCGTCACGGAACCCGTCTTTTCTTGGGGCTGTCAGGCGGCCGCCTTCGTTGAAGAGTTATCCTCCCTTCTCCGTCACCTTCGTGTTTGCTCAGCGAACATGTCTGCAGGTGAACTGCGTGTCGACATTAACGTCTCAATTGGACCCTCGAAGTCTGAACAGGGGCCCATTGTTGAAGTGAAGAACGTGAACAGTCTTCGCACCATCCGTCAGGCCATAGGTGAGGCAACACCGCCCGCTACTGATAACATGCGAATAAGTTGGATTAAGCGACTTTTTTCTTGTCGGTGGGAGCCTTGTCGGTAGGCCGTCTCTACAGGTGGGGCTGTGTGGTAAAAACACTCGCTTTCGAATAACTTCTTTTTTCTTAACCTCGTCTGCGGTCAGGTTAGGCTCTCTGGCTCTGAGTTGTGATTTCGTCTTGGAAATAAAATCTTTGGGTTGTCAAGTTGTGTAGTCCAAAGCAAGGTTGAATTTGGCTATTTGACTGTAATATTTGCCAATTAAATCTATCATTAAAGTCGATCTACGCGTTGTAAACATCGCAGCTCTACTGATACACTTTGAAATAAGGTTTACAAGTTCAACGTGGTCTCTGGTATTCCACTTTGGCGTCGGCTGAGGAGGCCTAAACTTCGCTTACAACCACACTCGGTTGCTGGTATCAGGTTTTTCGGTATGTGGTTTCTTATGAAACCACAAAAGAATGGCGCCCAAGTTTGTCTCCATTTTCAGTCATGACGCTTCCATGCCTGTAATTTCCCTGAATGTTCCTGATTGTTAATTTGTTTTCTTCTGGTACCATTGTGTAATCGAGAATTTTGTATAGTTTGTGGACCGTTTTTAACTCAGCCGCTCAGGGGTCAATAATATTAGTGACAAGACCTTTTTTTATTTTTACTACGTTTGCTTAATTTTTCTAGATTTTGAAATAGCACGACAATGCGAGGTTGTGCAGTCTGGTGGAGTTGTTGTCAATGAAACGCGTTCGTATGATGCAAACAACAAGTGAGCCTTTGCTTTTGTCGACTTTCCGGCAGAGGAGAGCTTCGGAACACATCGGTCTGTGTTTCTGCTTCATTCTAAGTGGTAATTGCTTAACTCGTGCTACTCTGGGTGTACATGGGAGGTCACTCACACCTTAGACACGCGCAGAACACCTCCTTGTCCTTCTCTGTGAAAACACCTCAATATTATGCAACCCTCGCATGAGTTGCCTTGTTTCCATTTTACATGACCCGAATTTGTTATCTTAATGTGCCGATAAGCTTTTGTGCAAGTTGAGGTGATTCTTATCGCATCTAGTACCTTCTGATCCTCGTTTCCATCCACAGTAAAACCACGCCAATGCGCGACAAGGAGGTGGTGCAGGATTATCGATTTCACCCAGAGCCTGACCTTCCTCTTCTGCGGATCCGTGAGTCGTGCGACTTGTGCCGTTCACTTGAGACGGTCGGCGAAAACGCAGTCAAGCAGTCGAGTGCATCAGCGCTCGGAGCAAAGTGCGAGGGTTCCAGGGGTGTTTGTGTGGGCTGCGTTCGGGTCGCTTATAGTCTCACTGGTGCTGATAGTGACCTTGCGCTTCCGAATAAGGTCCGTCAGGAGCTCGTCTTTGACCACGGTCTGCCTGTTGAGCGTGCGGCACTACTGATTAATGTTCAGCAGCTCAGAGATCTCTACCAATCTGCATCCTCCCTCACAGTTTCGCAGCTTCTGGATTTTCGGCAGGATATTCTGATGCGCCAAAGTTTTCAAGATGATGACTTTAATCGGCTAATACGCAATGAAGTCGCTTACTGGTGTTCCGGCATTTTATATAGTTCTCTCCGAGATAAGCCAAAATTCTGGTAGGTGCTTAACGTGCACATTTTTTCCCATATTTATTGTACTACTGGTTATTAGTGAGTAAACCTTTTTAGTCTACCTTCCCCTACCCAATTGTCCCAGTTTGTGATCATGAATCTGACTGGCCAGATTTTCGGCACTGGATCAGAAGAGGTACTCATTTCCGCTTTAACTATAAATATCTTTTTATGATCGGGAATTTGAGGGGAAATCGTTTGTGTCGCTAGGTAGCTTGAGTGCATGGTTGTTTGGCTTAGTTTTTCCTATCTGTACCATTGGAGTAAACTCAGTATTCGGTCAGAAATTGAAGTGCGCAAATATTAAGCAAGGTTGTTGTTCCCAAGACCAATGTATCACGCTGAGAGGTGGGTGTGGCGGTGGCGAGCTACGTCATTTCTAGTAACAATTTATATGCGAATGTTGGTTTGCAAATGCCAACCTCTTGATCACCTAACTTGGGTGTTTGTAGGTTCTTAACAGCATGTGTTCTGTGGGCGAATCCGCACATCCCCTGGAAGTTGCTCGCCAACGGGGCGTGCTGCTTGTCAACAACCGGGAGGTCATCCGCACAGTCTGCTGCGCCTTCGTTGAGGCGAATTCGTCCCTGGTGCGTTCACTTGCCTTCTCTCGTCTTTCCTATCACCATCCGACGTTTTGTTGGTGGACTGCTTGAATTGTGCTCATTTTGTAAACAGCCCAAGTATTGGGTATTAGAGGGCAGTCCCGAACCCTGACAGTTGGCAATGTTTACTGTTTGCTTAAGCATCTGTCCAACGCGCCGCCTTGTTCTCGCCAGGCTTGTTTTTAATCTGGTCCACGCAGCTATCGTGTTGCGTCGCTTCAGTCGTGCTAGTAACAACTTTGGCGTAACCGAGTGTAATTTTTGGCCCTGCGCCTTGCATTTCTGACGGGATGACAATTCACGCATCGGCCACGTGCTGAATCCCTTCACCGAGGATGGGCATTGGTGCCAAGATGAGCACCCTTTGTGGTGAATTCCCGTGACCATGACGTGAATACATCATTTACAATGTGCGGCTTCGTCGCCACGGCCATCTATGTGTACGGGACTGGTGTGGGTTTTTTTCGACCTCCTGACTAAAATCATGTTAGGGTTCCCATCTGAGAAATTGTTGATTTCTACTAAATTTACTCCTGTCACCCTCGTCGACACTGCCGTACAAGCTTAAATAAATTCTTTGTTTACCCCTAAGATGTCCTAATCGATAGTTTCTACACACGCCAGGTTCTTATCTAAGTAAAACGCCCCCAGTAAACACCGCCTTAACAAAACAACCGATTGGTGTAAAGCTTCGGCCCATAGACGGCCCTGACATTGATACGGGGTCGTTCTAAATGTACTGCTATGGCGCCTTAGTAATGCCCCACTACATGAAATGCATCATGCTCTGTAAGTTCCAAAAAGGAAGTTATTTTTTAGTCCAATAGGTAACGAACCAACTCACGTTAAATTCACTTGCATATTTAGCAGTCAATTCACTTTCTTTTCTCCTTTTGATTGGTATTTCAAAAGTTGCGGCGTTGTTTCGATGCAGTGAAGCTTCCTGATACCATCTTTGCCTGGACCATTTCCATTGTGACCCGAAATTTGTTATGATATTCACTTCTACTCGTCGCGTGTAAGCAAACACCACGCCTGAGGAGTGGCAATTCCGATTGACGCGCTGTGTTGCGCTTTCCTTTTGGTGCGGACAATCCTGACTGAGATGTGGTGGTGGGACAAAAGGCCATGCAGTCACCCACGCACCACACACAGCCTTACGAGGGTGCAGCGCGCCGCACATGCCCTTGCCGACTCCGCGTCCATTCCGCACTTGGACGATGCGCTGCATGCCATGCTGCTCGATTTCGTCGTCCATTCTCGCGTAAACGTGGCCGGCCGCTCACGCAGCTCAATCCTCTCTCTCGCTCTCTACCGCCATGTCGCAGCTCGATGCACTGACCTCGGCCAATTTAAGAAGGCTGTTAACCTAACTCACGTCATCAGTTAATGTTTCCAATATTCCTGGAATCCACTGACCAAGTCGGTTGCTAGTCTCTGTCAAATGTATGCTGTGATGCTGCTTTGTGCACGTAAACGTACAGTGTTATGCGAGCGTCACGCGACGCCTTTTGTCTTCATTTAAAGCATTCCAAATGCGCTAATTTTGGTCGGGCCGTAGCCTATTCACAATAATTGAATGCCACCTTTAAATTACCATGAAGGTTAAATTTATGCATGCAACTAATCGAGGTGATCGTTTCGGGTAACCAATTAGTGAGGTCATCCCTTTAGTGTTCTTTCAGGGTGAGGTCGAATCCTCGAGGAGACCGCGTTTATTTAAACGACCTGATGTTAGAAGGACGCCGCAACACACATCGGTTGTCTCTCGCTAAGCCTAATGTGAATCTTGTTCTCATAAATGCTCTAAGTCTCTGCAGAGCCTAATTACTTCCTCCTATTGATTTCTTGTGTCCCTCAGCACTTAATTTACCAAACGACTGATTCCACTGATATAATGATCGGCGATTCACTGCTGTTTTAACCTGAGTTTTCCTTGGCAAACAGCAGACTACCAGGTCAACGCTGTTACCTTAGCCCTGGCCTGCTTTCGAATTTCTTTGATGCTTTTACAAGACCCGTCAAGCGAAGCTGTTGCCTATCTAAATGCCAAATTTGATCATGTGTTGATGTTATTTCACTCCTATTTATATTCCTTAAAACTGTGTAACCTAACGATCGTTTAGTTAAAACGATAATTTGTTTAACAGTGGCAAAATTTGGTGATTAGCCCTGGGAACTTTGCGCTCCTATCAAATTTGCTTTTAACAATCATTTTTTGGTTTTATTTAGGTTAGAAAGTACATTCGCAAAGGCCGAAAAAAACGACACCTCCAGTCAATGGTCAGTCGAATTTTGAGGGACGAAAATGCCAATCTCCATCCGTTTCTAGTGGAGTCGTGCATCTCTGATATTCTCAGTTCAGATGATTATCGGACAGAGGATCAATAAGATGTTGTGTAGGTCTTGAGCATATTTATGCTGTGGTGCCCACTCGTGTACTCCGTGTGAATGGCCTTCGTGTAAATCAGTAGTTCATAGTCGTTCGATCCGTCTTAATTTGCCGCGCCGTTCGTGAGATATCGTAGCAGCTACGAAAGCAGGTGGCGTCGTCAGTGCTTTTATGAATATCGAAGCACTGGTGGAGAAGTCGCAGTGGATTCACTCTTTGGCATGTCACTGCACCCTTGGTGGTCCGTGTCTACGAGCGCTACGCAGCAGAGGTGCCATTTTGCTAAAGTTTTTGCCGAATTTTGCATAGTCCGAATTTGGCGATTGAGAATCCCTCAGAGGTGGGCGTAACTAGAGGGTTCATTATTGAGCACGTTGTTACGGTATTGTCATATTTATTAAAGGACACAATCAACTTCCACTCTGCTAAGAAAGAAACAAAAAAGTTTTTCGTATTTTTAGGCTGGGACTCGATGAATGATGGTATCACAAAAAAAACATTCAAAGCCTTCTGTACAATGCCCATGGGTGAATTCCGTACTTCTGTGACCACTCAACTCCACTTTCACACAATCCAATTATTTTTTATCACTCGCCTTTTTCCCCATGCTTATCTGTGTAATTCTCCGCCATTGGTGTTCTTTAGCATATCGGGAGTGGGGGCAGGTTGTTAATCTGTGTTTTGTGAACCACCTTGTGCTAAATTTGGTCGTATTGCTGGCTCAGCCCTTCTGTTTGAATGTTAAGTTTTATGCTGTCGTTGCATTTCGTGTAACTCGCCGGCTCTTAAGGTGCTGTCCGTTTGCTAAGTGTGTTTGTCCATGCACAACTTCAGTCCGCTAGAGAAATGCTATTCTCGAGGGACCCGCTCCGTCTCTGGTGTAGGCAGACGGCCATTTGCAGCAACTGCTACTGGCGATTCAATACGACAGGTCTCCAGCCAGAAATCGAGCCACTTGTGTTAATTTAACTGACGACAAGTGGAAAATTCATAGTGGTTTGTGTGATTTCCTTTCGAGTTATTTGCCAGGCTCACATGAATACAGGCCCTGGTGAGTGATGGATTCCCCAGCAGTTGTGTTAGCACACCTTTCTTGATAACGTTTGGTTTGTGCACGAAATAACCACTCTGATTCCATCTGCCTGTAATAAATTAGTGTTCAGGACCCAATCTTCCTCGTTGGCAGTAACTATTGTGGCTGTGCAGCGCTTTTGTGTTTACACCAGAATTGTTTACCGAGGAAATGTTGCAACTTCGTTGTCGTCGATCCTTTTTGTAGTGGAAATAAAAATAGACACTGAGGATTGATAATCGCGAGCAGCCCAGTATGCTGAATTTTAATGTGAGTGCACTCAGCCCGATCTGAGTAATGGAACCAAATATATCCATCGTTTGAACGGTTCCGGCCACGTGTTGCGCATTTCCTTGAATGAGTCGCCTCGAATTCAGCTTTAATCACTTTTCAGTTGTTTATTTAAACCGGGAAATTGACTGCATTTTTGCTAGCAAAAAATTGACATTAGCACTAGAAATAGCCACAGATGCGCGAATGCAGTTTACACCGTCGCACTGCAGTTTAACGTTCTGCGGTTAAAAAAAGCCTACGTGTGCATGCCTGGCGCTGTTGGCCGAAGCTCCAGCTTCAAATGGCAGTGTTTCCCTTTGCCTGGAAATAAAGTGGACAGAGGGCGGCTTGTCCCGTCGTTATTTTCATGTTACCTTTGGGAAATTAAACCATGTTAAAAGTAGCAGTGCGTTAAATCGGTGGGTCGCATGTCCCTGCTGAAGCTGCGGCTCGTCAGGTTACGTGTCCCGGTGAGCACGCCTTTGATCCACAACTCATAAATTCATTAAACGCGGTCACAGAGTCTGCATTTTGTTTGAAGCTAACATCACATTCAGTGTTTTACTTAATGCTACAAATGGAATCTTCAATGGAAATGGTTATCAGTCTGTTGTTCAGAGGCATTGATTAGATTATCAAGATATTTGTTACTCAGACTTCGTGGATGGCTTAACAAGTGATTTTTTTCGAGATCGTAGCCGTAATCACTTAAGTGAAATAGTCATTGCGATCGAGAAACTACGGCAATCCGATTACGACTCCTTGATTGGAGCGTCATACCCTATTTTTTGGTCTCTTAATGCAACAGCAAGGCCTGCTTTTTACGTCGTGGACTTTGGAAAAGGTGATATTCTTAACATCATGTTGAATTTACTATATGGACTGTTTGCCTGGGTCACACGTTATCATCATTTAGGTAAACCTCATTGTGGCCTTCATTGTGAAAATCAGCTTCTTTAATTCGTTAAAATGCGTGTAGGAAAGTGTCTATTCTCACCAATTAGATACTCGAGTTGGAGCCTATCTTCAGCATAACCCAAGAAATTCGGTATAAAACAGTGATACTGCGATAAACTGTTTCTTAACGTTAAGCGTTAGAACAATTTTTAAATTCATCACTTGGCTGTCGGCCTTCTTTCACAATATGGGAGCTGTATGCCGGTAACGTCATGCTATCCAAACAATAGTAAAGGCTCGCTATTTTTTGGTTGCTCTGCACTCACAAAATCACTGTACGAATGAGGTATTGCCGCAGTTCCCTTGTTTGCGGTTGCCGTATGTCAATTTTTGCTATATATAAAACCAACTACCAGCACCGTACGGAATTTATCTTAATTTATGCTCCACTGACAGGATCTGATGGTTGGCAGGGTCGGCTGTCCTCTCTCATCCTCCACCCCCCAACTATCTGTGAGGCTGCGGTAAAAAACGACTGTGGAGTAGGTTGGGCGATGAGAGATGATGGCGTGGTGGGTACGCGTGCACAACATGACGCAAATTAACGCCTTCTTAATGATAAGGCACCTCAGCGTTTTGTGAATTATTCTTTCAAAACCGTTATAGATTTTGTTGACAAAGTCTTCACTTCCCCAAATTCCATATTCTTCAGCAGTTTTTGATTATTTTTTGAAAAATTTTGCTTGATTTACTTCATTTGGGATTTTAAATAGCCGTCAGTGAATGACATTGATGACCAATTACTTGTAGTGACTAGAGGATTTAGCACTACCTTACAACCCTCTAGTTAACAGCCCGTAGCTACCCGAGGATAGGAAAAAGGAGGCGACAGAGAACACGACCGTTTATTAGAGTCGAACCAGCCAAGTGGCTTTGTGTGCGTATGAGCACGCGTGCGTAACAGGCGAATGCTGACAAAAATCAATAACAAAAGGGGGTGAGTCATCGCTACACACGGGCCTTCATGCACGCACACTCGCGCGGAGCGGCTGTCAGTCCACTACATACTTAACTTTATCTCACACACCACGTGAACGGGTTTGTTCTGCTGCGTTTGCCTATGTGCCGACCATGGAGCTTTAATTTAAGCTCCATTTTTGCAGCACATTTCAGAACCGATTGACACCTCAACCCCCGAAAACGTGCTCTACAGCCTGCCATCATTATCGGTGTTTCCGTTTGAGACTCTGTTTATTGATTGCCTTCGATGCGATTTCGAAGCATATTTATGGTACTAGCCAAGTAACCGGATAATCGTGTATTCTCGTTGAGGTACCTTCACCCAACTATCCATATGATATAGCCAATTGTCTATCATTCGAATTCAGCTTGGAGTCTTGTCTCGACAGCTGTGTGGAGGTCCAGCGCCACTGCGGTTACCATGCTGCTCAAATGTGTGTCAGTTACCAGTCCAACTTCAAATTACTGCGCCGTCGCAGGTCTCGTGTTTTAATGTGTGCAATCGGTGTTTGTGGCCCCTTTGCAGCCTACCAGCGACCGCGTACACCATGCTTTGGAAACCTAACCGCCTCCGGACGACTGGGGCGCAGACACTGAGAGATAGGCTGAAATGCTGTGGCCATTCCGGAGAATTCGATAAATTCGAATCGATTTGCTTATCAATTTCCCATCAATCGTACGCTATATGTTTGCAAGTTTGCTAAGCTTGTCGTGAGATAGCTGTATGAAGCTAAAACTGAATAGCAGGGCTAAGCAAACTACCTTTTTCAGCCTATTAGTTGGAGTTTCAATGGCGCAGGATTCAATTTGTAACCAAAAACCTCTTTGGGAGGTGGGTAAGAGCTGAAGGTGCCATTGAAAGCAACTATTTGCAAAGTGAAATGTAAAATCCAAGCGAGCATTCGAAAGGAGATCTAAAAATATAGCACCAACCTATTTTTATTCATTGTTGGCTTGTGTAAGAAATATGCATTCTCTCCTCGCACCCAGTAAAATGCTACGTTCAAAAACAAATGAATTTTGCTCGGAAAGAGGAAATTCGCCAAGATCACCAAGTCCTCAAATATGTATTAATCTGTGTGCTTCATAGTGTGCAGTTTAACAGCTAAGCAAGGGTTAAGTTAGTGCCATCATCTAATGCTGGTTTTGGGGGTTACTAAGGCACCATATATTGTTTATGCTAGCCACCTTTAGCAAATTTGTGAATCACAATCCTCAGAATTGTAGCTATATGTTATGCTTGCGTGTTTGCTGTTTTAGAGAGCCTGAAGCGCATAAGTGAAGATAAAGAAAAAATCGAGTCGTCGAGCGTGATGACAGTGATATTTTGCAGTTTAGTCGCGTGCAAGCTCAAAGCTGACGCCGAATCCCTTTCCTACACTAAGTTCCTGTCTCCAGCTGGCGCCACGGACACGACCAAAGACTGCGAACCTACTCGCCGCCCACCCAACGCACCCATTTTAGTCAGAACACGTAGACAACTGACTGTTTTTTACTTGCTGCTGTCAGGTCTCAGACTGTCCCTCTCTTGAGACATCGGGAACTGAGACAACTGAACTAGACGTCGAACGTAACCGTATATTGGTTCCAGAGACTAATTTGTATAACTACCAACCTTTTAAAGGGACCAAATAACGTTGGATGTCCTTGAAAGACTCAGAAAACGGCCGAACTTGGAAACCAAGCCTGTCTAGATTTAGCCTCCTCCCACTAAGAAACAAAGTGGAGACTTACCCAACTGCTGCAAAGAGCTTTCAACGAATGTGAGGTATTTTCTGTAGAACTCTTCATTCTGTACCGAAAGCGCCCTACAGTGGCGATAATACTACCATGAGTAATAATAATAATGTTGATAACAGTAAATCTACCAGTAGCTGTATTCTATGATTCTGAACTATTCCACCAAGAAAGGGGGTTTGAATGTAAAACGCTTGTTGCCGTTAACCATGCGACTATCTCCAATAAAACTAGAATTCTTCAGGAAGATCATGCCTGGTTCTGAGAACTTGGTGGATCTTCAAGATCAAGCATTAATCTGCTGTGTCGATTGTGTTGTTGTGGCTTTTCTAAGCCGCTGTCTGTGTATCCTTTCCTCGAGCTGGTTTTACTTGTTACGTATCCCCTTATAACCACCGATTTTGTAGGCTTAACAGGACAGTACGACTTAAAAATTATAACTGGTGACAAACTAAGGTAAGAAATTTGGCCGTTTATACGTGAATGAAATTTCAAATTTGACCGCCATGATTAGCTTATATCAATTCGTTATTTTTATATTCGTAGTACTACTCAGCTATGCACAATTCTTCTAGTCTAAATATTTCCTGCTAATCTCTATTCCTTTTGCCATTCACACCTTTCGATATATGGACATCTAATGCATAATTCACCTTTGGGAGACAAACTGCAGATAAGGTGTTGACTTAGCCCAAATTTTCTCGTACTGAAAGCATCCCTTGAGAGAAACGAACTTGCAGATGAGAGGTTTCACCGACAGTAGAACTAAAAAGACAGTGCAAGAATGTTTAATTGAGTGGGTTTAGTGCAAATATTCCTTGGAGGCTAGGTCTGCCTTCTTTCTCCTGTTTTCTTTTTTTGGGAGAAACGAGCGTTCCTGTTATGAACTGCTACAGGAGGAGAAATATCTTGGTTATGGTATCGGAAAATTTAAAAATCTCTGCTTCTTGTACCATGCATATTTGTTGTCTGCTTGTAGATAATGGTGGCTGTTATTTTTCGCTGTGTCCAATCAAGCACAGCTTTAATTCTTGGAGATATCGCCTATTTAGAAGGGCTGATATTAAATTATTCTACCTTATGTTTTTTTCAGTCCAAAGGAGTTCCTATTCTTTTATATCCTACTACGATATTTGCTGCCATATGAAAAAACCTGGTAATGGTCTAGACGTTGAGTCTCTGAGTGAAATGATTCTGGTTCTCAGAGTTGACTGCGCGCTGTTAGTCTGCTCTCCTCGTAGGGCTATCTTGAAATACCTCCTATTCAGAGGACATTGTAGCAGTTCTAATATTCCTTGGGGTGTACTTGACGCTGAGTCATCACTACACTCATGGTGTTGTCGACAGCTCCAACATGGGACTATGAGCCTACAGCACGGGTGTTTCCTATAGTTGCGTCGGTTTTGTTACGCTGTTTCAAATGTAAGTGTTTTGTCGGTTAGTTTAGTATTGAATTCTTTCCATTCATCCTTAACTAAGAGCGGAATAACAGTCATCCACAGTTCAATCTTCAAACTTTTTCCTGGGTCAACTCTATGTTTTTGTGAAGCCTGAAATATTTCATTCACTAGGAAGGAGGTAGCAGGGTTGCAAATTTGACGAAATCAATCACCTCGTATTGTACTAAAGTCCTATTTTAATCCAATTCACCAATCAAGCCAAGAATTGAACCTAATTCAGGGCCACTCACCTTGGCATTAGCAGCGCATGCAATGTCGTCAAAACGGCCATCGGGGCAGATGGGCAAAGGGTGATGTGTTGTTGTCACCCCCAAGTGCCACTTGTGGTTGCGAGGTCGACCTGCGACCCGACCATGCCCAGGCGGGCAGCGATGCTGCTGGCATCGGACAGCCAACTGTCTAAGGCCATTATCACGGCCGTTGTTGTTTTTCACTTTCACGCCGCGTCAGTAATCGAATTGCAGTCCTGTAATCTAATTGCTTGTAAGTGGCAGGTGAATGTATAGAATCGTGCCCAAGAGTGTGGGTTTGCCTCGCAGCTTTACTCCTTGATCACATTCCGGCCGTGTGCTTTACCAACTTGAATGAATGCGGCTTTGGGGTTGTCGCTAAAATCTTAATGGCATGTTGTGCTCATATCGCTTGCTCTGTTGGCTTAGGTGTTATTGGGAGAACAGAAATTGCCCAACCGACCACCTGCCTCGTCGGGCATGTGGCTGGGGCGCACAGGCTTCTAACGCCCTATAATTACAAGCGCAATTGATTACCAGGTATTTTCACATCCACTATGTGGGAATTTTAAACTGATGATTCACATCTAGTTCTGTTTGAAAATTACTGCTGAGTCAACCTTCTACATTACTATTTGTTCACGGACAATATTTTACCCCAACATTTGTCACCTTTGTAAAGTAACCGTTTTATTTTCTTCCTTTCTAGCACTGTTCACTCAGTTTTCTTTGAATCCCAAGTCAACCGTACTTTAACTTCCTTTTATGAATGAAGTCATTACTGGTTTACAAAGTTGTTCGTCAATTCGTCGGAAGTAACACACGTGACTGACGCAGTATCAACTTGTGCAGCCGTCCTCGCCACAACACCCTCCAAGTCTTGCGTAAAATGAATCCGGGGGGGGCCCTGTGACCACGACTAAACTTCCGCCACACTTCGCGCGTCGGACGTGAGCTAACGTGATTTGCGTCTGCGCTGGATCGACAGGGGGGCGAAAAGCCCTAAAAAGCTAGCACGCATGCCGTTTAGTCCATTACTTTCGGGTCGATAATGTTAAGTAGAAGTTAGCTTTTTCTTGCTTATAAATCTTGCCAACATGCAACTCTTCATTACTTGCCGGTAATGAATGGTTGGAGGGGTGACAACTACTATTGGCTTCATTATAAAGCGATAAATCACCAATTTGTAAGATCTTCGTTTGACGCTTCAGACTGATCAGTAAGTTAACGCTTTTTACCTGAATTGGGTAACTGCTAGTCCCTGAAGGGCGTGTGCTCTGGGTTAGAGCATTGTTGGATAAATTCAGCACAAGGAGTCAAAATATTGCAAAGCCACGAGCATTGGCATGTCGTATGCATCACAAAAGCAACCGACTAATAAATCAAGGGTTTATTTCCATACCTTAGTCCACTAGCACACGAGGCTGTGTGCATTTCAAATCGTCAAGTTTCATAATTGGCAAACAACAGACAGTGGACGATGATGAATAAAATGATATATACACAATATGTTGAATGAGTTCAGGCAGCCTTCTGAGTCACTTCAATTAAACAAAGGTGGCTTTTGGGAAGTTGAGAGTTCTAGAACGCACGACAGCAGAAGTACCGGTTTTGAGGGGGGATGGAGGTGTGGTTGTAGCAACTTCCTCGGGGAATGATTTCTTCATGAGCTCTAGACTCCCACTGCCCCCGTCTTCGTTGTCCTCAGCGTCAGCGTCTTGGAAGTCGGACACTGGGGGAAGGGTTCTCTGGTTTCGTGGCCAGGAGGTGGTGGCGCTGGAGTGGTAGCGGGGGTCCGCAAAACCGCCTAATTGATTTGCCTGGTAGTAAGCCTCGCAGCCAGAGGACATGTTTGGGCAGCGACTCGCCGTCGGGTCTAACGACTGGTAGTCATCTGTGTGGAATACAAAACCGGTTAGTTCCACAAAAATTTGAGGTTTTGACCGGCTCTGCAATGCCTACTAGAAAAATCAGCCCTTCCATTACAAATTCTGATGAGTGCTTTACTGAAATGTTGGGGACATTAAATGCTAACAACAATAAATGGGAATGCATGGAAGACATGCCACATGACACCCTGCGTCAGGTTGATAATTTCGTGCTTGGAACAAGTCAACGTCGTGAAGTTAACAGTAATATTGTTCATTGAAATATATGGTAAGACATTGGCTATAATAATGATAGTAATGGCAAACCTAACTCAATCCTTCCGGCAAAAACATTTGTGGTTTTGCAATCTTGAAGAAATTAAACATTTCTTCGTCACAATTGCAGAATATTTGTTAGTGGGCTCATGGCTTCCACGCCCTTGTTAATCAAGATGAGTCTAAACGGTGTAGTTGTGCGTTAAGCCCGGGGATTTCAAATCAAATTTACACTTGTCTTTTACACCCCGACAGACGCAGGGCGTGTGAATTTAATTTACAACTACTTCGTATCAATTTAGAATGATTGTCCCATGGGGAAATCAGCGGCTGTGAGGCACTTTGTGACAGCCCCGGGGGTGCGTGTTGGTGAGTGCCATCACACTGCCATTTCCGGTTTCATTGATGTGTAGCACTTTACTGTAACATCCGAATATGGAAAAATTAGCTCAATAACTTAAGCATCAAGGAACCACAATGCGCACACAATAGAGTATTCTTTATTCGAAATTTGCGAGCACTGATGAGAAGTAAAGTCAGATGTGCTTAGGCAGAGGAAAGACCTGCTTCGTGTGGATGTAGACTGCCCGCTTGTCGTTCCGTGGAATTGCAATGGTGGCATATGCGGTTGCCTGATTCAGCGTCTTGGCTTAGAATCCATGTGGCTCATCAAGAGCACATTGATGTTGCCTCCGATGCTTATAGCCTTTTTTCACAAAATACACCCAAAAGGATTATACAAAATGAACATTGTCATTAGATGAGAGACCCATGCACAGGATCAAGGTAGATCCTTGCTGTCTGGGCCAAAAAAGTGGGAGTCGCATGCTGCGTGCATTCGTCAGTTGTAATGTTGCATCCAGTCCCCAAATGAGATAGCCACGTTCGACGGCATTTCAGGTGCACATGATCACAAGACCAAACGCTCGGTTTCCAGTGTGTTCGAGTTCGTAAATTTCCGCTTCTTGCATAGCCAATGACAATTAGTCACCTCTGCTTGGGCGGGTGACATTGAAACTGAATGCTGCAGCATGTGCGCGGGTGGAGAGGTCTGGTGTTGGGGCTCCGCGCTGAGGTAGACAGGTTCATCTATTATAAATTAGAGAGGTAAACGCGCAAGCGATGCTCCAGCCCTTCCAGGGGCCTGCGTTTTGCTTCTAGCAAAATGTGCAAACAAGACTCGCAAGCTCGGGGAGGCGAAATGAGTTAAGCAGCATGTTTTTGGTCTTAGAAATACCTTCAGAATACTATATGTGCATTTACTTTAGAGGCAATTTATCAGGCCTCCACTTTACACTTGTTGTTCCTCGTCTGTGAAGAAAGAAGACAAGGTTTCTAAGGCCGCTTGAAACGGCACTACTTTACTTATTTATTTGCTTAATGCACGCGAATCCCCGGCCTATCTGACTAGGCTTGGCACAACGAAGGTTCACAAGGAATTACAAGGTAAATTTAAGGAGTTTTTGGTAGATTTTGAAGATAACTGATGGTTATGCTTCATGAAGAGAAAAATGGCACAAATGGGCAGAAATACTTCGGGAACCATCTACGCAGATGGCCAGCCATGACTGGCTGATAAGGGTAGCGAGCGACACAAAATCAGGGCAATGCAGGTGCCGACTTCTGCTTAAGCGAAGCTGTCAGTCGCAGGACTGTCTGTGGTTGACGTCTATTTCGGAAAGTAAGAACCAATTTCCTTAGAGTTGATCACTTGACTCCCAGAAGCAACAATTGCGTCAGTGTTTTTCCAAGGTGAGTCAAATGATCCGGTTCCATTTTGTTGGCGATCCAGGCGTCCCCAAGATTTCCCGTCGACGACTTTTGTCATTATTTACATCAATTCCCTAACATCTGTTTTATTGCGCCTTTTTATCAGGTCAAGGTCAACCATGACTTGAATTAGTGTTCACTTTTGACGGCTCACACGCACTTTGGCTGAGGCGATTAAAGCTCTTTGCACGATTTCTGGTCTTGTCTCGTATTAGCGCGGGAAGGTAGGCTCAAGTCAACAAGAGGTGTGGTACCGTTATCTGCGTGCATTTCTCTTGGTTACGGGAAAATGTAACACATTTCGACTAAAATACACGCTGAGCGAAGCTGTCACATTTCGAGGAGATATCCAATCAGATACTTTTTTGGTAGTCATCTATTTAAAATAAGTAATTTCATTTGTTTATTATGGGTAACAAGTATTACCTTGTCTGTAGTGCGCTTGTTGTGCAACCGTGCCCATTGTGGGTCGAGTGTTAATGAGAGACGTCGGACCGAGGATGCCATAGCTCGCCGGCTGCTGTATGGACTGCGGATGGGGATACAAAAGCTGGTTGCCCAGGTGATAGCCGTCTCGATAAATCGAAAAATCAACCATCGCATGTGGGACTGGGGAAAAGGGGGCCGTTGGGAGGACACGCACACCGTGTTGAGCCTCAACGAAGGTCCCCTCGACGTTCAGTCGACCCGATGAGCCGCTGTTGAGGTACTACAGTAACGTAAACAAATCCACAAACCGTCAAGTAGCTATTAATCGCTTGGTTAAGACGACGGACATTAAAGGCCAAAAATTACGATTAATTTGATAATGCCCACAGACAAGAAACAAATATTTCTGCAATTTTCATAATATTCTTAGAGCAGCATTTACGACTTTATTGTGATGCAAGGCAAAACATTCTGCATCTACCTGACTGCCCACGACTACGGCGTATTTTAGGCACTTTGGCGGTTGGTGGGTGAGTTCATTCACCGCAGAGGTTACAAGCTGTATGTTGCCATGACATAAAATGTGTAGGAATATTAGTTGAACCACGAAGAGGATAAAACCAGAGGCTTATCCATGTGGTCCACTAAAAATGCATGCGTAATTAGTAATGAATTCTTTGCCTGCCCCCAATTCACCAAGCAGCCACGACAAAGCAAGCTGCTTCTGGATTCAGTGGCCTAATTTCTGCCGAATATTGTGCCACGGTGAAGTCTTAACTGGGTGAAGGATGAATTTTTTCTGTTGAGTCCCAGTTTTAGGTAGCAAGAGTGGCTTACGCATAGGAATAATTGAGAGAGCCCTCGTAAGGCAGTTGAAGTCGACTTAATTACTTCCCATGAAATAAACTGGACGGGAGCACACTTCGGACGCGCTAATTACGTTCCCACTCAAAATGTCGGGTCAGGAGGTGTGGGAATGGCTTTTCACCTATTCCTCGTAGATTTATAAAGAGGTTTCGCAGAAGGCACTAATTTCCTTCCCGTCTGCGTCGACGTTTAAATTATGCGTAAACTAGATTGTCGTGGCCATTTGAAAACCTCGGAGTGCTTGGCATTTTGCAGGCACTAGAAAACGCCGCCGGCCTTAAATTGATACATTAAGGCTGCTTTTTGAAGTAATTATCACAACTGACAACTTGCATATTGAGGCAGCCAATGCGAAAGATGTCACTTCCTCCCTTAACGAGATTTAACTATAGCATTAATCCCATAAGACTCCAGTTGCCACACACTGGTCATTACCCCAGGCTACTTGTATTTGCCCCTCAGCAATATGAGGCTACCCGAGGGAACAGGCAAGTCGGCCTGAGGCAATGCAGAGCCCTCCAGGTAAAAGCGTCTCGGTGGCCACGTCGTTTTATTTAGCCAACATAGCACCCTCCGGCATACCCACGTCGAGGCTTGGACTTTCGCGAATGTAAATATTTACATTAAACAGTCGAAATTTGGGGTACAATAAACAACTGCACGGCGCATCTAGTCACGAGTGCATCATGCCAAGAGGAATTGAGAAGGTCCTCGAGTCATGCTCGACAAGTCACCTTTCCAGGCCTTTTTGCTAGTTTTTTCCAAATTTTTAAACCAGATTTTGTTTTACTGAAGTACTTAGCCATGGCATAGTTCATTGAGTTTGAATATTAATGACAAAAATCAGCATGGTAGAATGGAAGGTACAGGACATTCGAGTGAAACATTAGTAAAAGCGAAACTTCGAACCAAAACATGTCTCCGTTTTCGTGACACTGGGTTTTGTCCTCACGTTATCGCTGAACCAGACTGGTAACGGCATTCCATTTTCGCAAGTTGTTTGAATTTTAACCTTATTTTAACTTTCTCTGCTGGCGAACACAAGGAAGCAAGGAAAGGAAGGGGATTTAGTTTCCTCCAGACTTGTGCGTTTTGCACGGGCGAAAAATACCACGCAGATAAGCTGCCCCTTTTCGGCCTGAATAATTAAAACAGAACACTTCACGCAGTACGAATGGCGCCACCATAGGTAGAATGTTTGTGCGTGTTCATGCGCGTCTTAAAATTTATCGGACTAAAAGCACGCATTTCCTTCTAAGGCTGTACCGGTGGCCATTACTCTACCGCGTTGTGCTCAGTGTGGGGGTGATAGAGTGAGGGTGAGTTGGCGGGGGGGGGGGGGGTTACCCCCTCAAGATCCGTTATTCACTTTTGGACATTTTTGTCTCAGAACATTCCGAGACGTTCAGGCCACACCTTCCGCATTGGCTTTGATGCTTCAAAAGAAGTTAATTATCGGTTGTTGGTGGCTTTCAAGCCTAACTGTTCTATCGGCAAACAGCAAAGTAGGCTTTAGACGAAGCCCAAAAGCTTGGACGATATTTTGCTAACACTGGTTAGGTAATATTCCATCACTGCTTTTGATTTGGGCTAAAAGTAGACAGCTCACCTCCTCCGACCGGCATTGCAAGGGTCGATGGAGTTCCGGTTCACTGATTGGTCCCACAGCCGGTGTCTGTTTAATTTTCTCGGCTGTTTTATCTGCGGGGAAGAAATAAAATGAGTCGGCAGTGAAGAAGTGCATGAAATATGGCTACCGTCCTCATGGTTAATTGTGGACGTGAGAATATCTGCGCATGACAGATGATGGCTGGACAACAGCTGACTCCAGAAGCCCAAATGCCTGAAGGCGCTTTCGTGTGCATGCTATTTGCATTGTGCACGTGGAATGCCTTTGTGCATTAACGAAAATTCGCCTCCCACAATGCAATCCTCTACGTCATTTGGCTCTGAATAGCGAATCGTTTAATTCAATTGTCCTAATATTAAATCTGCACCATTTGTCGCCTCCTTTCGAGTCCAAAATGCAATTTGCGGAAAACTGAAATCGGCCCGCGATGGAATTGATATGTAAACACGTTGTGTAGGCAGTTTTAGCATGAACTTGCAATTTCATTAAAGTCCTGTTAGTACAGGCTACTTTTTAAGGAAGCATTCACACATTTTGGAAGGCGCTTGTTCGTAAGACTTGCATTAGACTTGGGTATTTTGACCAAAGCATTGCTTCCTAATGAAGGCATTGGGCTACCTCAAATACAATGATTTAGTGCAAGTGGTAGACTAATCGATAGAATAAAAGTACCTTCACGGAGTTTGTCCCGGACTCGTTCCAAGGAAGTTAGCGATTACCGAAAAAATCTGTCACTCACTGATAATCATTTGTCATGGAACACATCCATACTCATTAATGAGAATTTCCGATAATTTAACAACAAGTTAAGGGTCCCTCTCGCTTACGACTGAGTTTTGTTCACAAATATTTTTTCTCTGCCTCTCAGGTCCAACAAGAGGCGATTGTGGCGGTGAGGACAACTTCCACGTGCCAGTGGAGGCGATTATGCTCATGTTGTGTACTCTAATAAGCCTACTCACACACCGTGTGTGCGCGATAAGACTACAACTGCTTTCGGCAATGCGTGCCCCAATAACAGCGCAAACAAAGGCCACCATCATCACCACTGGCAGGTGGCTGGTTGGGGAGGCAGGCGTAAACGCCACCCTCTCCACCCGCCAACTTCCATTATCGCAGTGTGTGTGTGTGTGTGTGTGTGTGATTATAGTGTCACGCCAGTCTAGCATAGCAGCCACCACCACCACCACCGTCTACCCCGCCACCCCCATGGCCTCATGCGAGCTCACGATAATGCGCCTCGATTAACACGTTCGCGCCTGCTTACGAGGCCGAGAGGCGGAGGCGGGGGGAAGAGGAGGAAAGGCAGGGTGTTGGTGAAGTGCGCCCCTCCTCCTTCCCCAACTGAGTCAGGCGCTGATATGGCTATTACTGCCGGAAGTTGATGGAGCTTTTAACTACAACATGGAGGCAAGCGGACGACTTGCTAATGCTGATCGATGCAATCCAGAGTAATCAGGTAGAGAATAATAAACCCATTAATGCTTGCTAGGTCTGCTGTAAAGCTGTGGGAAGCTGAAAGGTTAAAATACTTGTTCACTCGATTTTGTGATTTGGATTCTGTATTCGTCTTCTCAAATCATGTTAATCAACTGCCCTATTTTACTTGAATATGCAAAATGGAGAAACGAAGGGCGTTATAACAACGAAGGTTCTACTTTCGTTTTTTTTTTCAATAGACCAGAACACCTGGAATCTAGAGGGGGGGGCACGGCACTAAGCCAAATCCACTACAGTCCTCTGCTATCTATAACCCTTAACAAAGTGAGGAAGGCAGAATATTGCTTTGCTGGAACATGTTTGAGTTATAGTGGCGAGAAACCCAAAAAGCACCCAACGAAGGCACAGTTTATCGTTGTCATCGTGTGTCTGGTGATGGCTGTTTACTACGCACACATGAATCTACTTCTGCATCTCATACGCTTACTTATTGTTTCTAACGTTTACTCACTGATCTGATTGCACAAGATCCTTTTGTATGACACTTCGTCTAGGCCGAAATAGTTTGTCAAGTGCGACTATAGCCAGTAGATGCAAGTCCATCAAAACGCACAGCTAGTCAGCATTTCAGGCAATAAAAGTAGCCATAAGTAGTCTATTTTTTGTACAGCTGCGCGCCAAGTGCTTCAGACAGACTGATAAGGTGTTGGCTAATCCATGCACACAGTGTTCAACCTTATTGACACCTTAGGGCCATTTAGCACAATCTGGCGTTAAAATATTTCCCTTCTGATGGCTTAGAGAAAGATGTGAAATACTGTAAACCGTTTCTCCTCAGCTATGTTCATGCACACAAGTCACAGTAATTAAGTTAGGAAAAGGGTAAGAAATCCACTGTCGAAAGAGAGGAGCCCGTTTACCCATCACAGTAATTATCACTAACGTACTCCGACAGCAAACGAAGCCAAGTAATTATACTCTGTGACGAGATTTAATGCAATTGAGAGAGCTAAATGTTCGCAAACTTAACTCAAAATATGCCTAATTTGAGGTTATTGGGGTTTTGCAGAAAATGGGAAATTAGCATTCAAAAAAGTTAATATTGCACCTCCCGAGGTCAAATTTGGGTTTGTGACACAGATAGGAAGAGATGAGACAGCATCTAGAAGGTAAGAATCCCATACCTTCTACTTTTACTGTACTTTTGCAAAAGTTGACGTTAGTGCTGATGAAAGAAAATATCACCGAAAATTTACGCGGTGACAAAGTCACAATTTGATTTATAATTTCATAGGTAAACTAATCTTTCTAGAAGACCAAAGTCTCTGTTCACAAAATTATTCACATGGACAGGGCATAAGGTAAACAAACACTGTGAATCGCACAAGCGAGAACGAGGTTAGAGGATTTGAAGACTGCCCTCGGAGCGTGGAGAACAGTAGCAATTTCTATGGCATGCCTTTGAAGCGTTTAACTGCCAAAAGCGGAATAAACCACCCTTTTGACTATGGAAGTTATAAGCTTTTGCTATCAATTAGGTACTGCTTGTTGACAAGACTCGTCTTGCACGTAATTATACCTTTACTTATTCCATAATTATAGTTCATTGCGAAGTACACCCTCTGTACCATCGTTTACGTCCATCAAGCGGGCGCGGCCAAATGAAGCAACATTGTAGTCCAAAAAGCCCCGATAATTCTGATTTAGAAACAATTTTAGCCAGTGTCTACTTGTTAAACCAAACGCGAACAGCATCTGGTATTCGGACTGCTCGCTAATTGTGTCGCCATACACTGTCATTTGAAGAGATTAAATATTATAAGAGAATTTAAGGGGCAACGTTAGCAGTAACGTGGAAGGAGACAAAGTTCACGGAAATTAATTAGCGACTGGCCCCAGGTACGCAGCCTCTACTCAGATATGACTATACCGATGAGGAAAGGGTTCGTCGTGCCTTGTTTACGGCTGACTAGACGATGCCACTTCGGTGGATTTGCGACGCGCCTTGTCGGCTGTCGAAGGGAGACGCAGATTCGTAGGCACCCAACTGACAGCCAAGACTGACCATTCGCACATCTTGCCAATTTAAGTCTAAGGAACTCGTACTGTAGTAATTAAGGGCGTCAACGGACTCCAATATTTTTATACAAAAACGCCGTATTTATAATTGGGATGAGTTTGCTGTAGAAAACGAAAACATCATATCATATCAAACATTCATATCACAGATTCAATGATCGATTTTCACATAATAATTCGAAGACCTTCGGCCACAAAGGCTAGTGCTAAAACCTTCGCCTAAAAAATTGAATTTTGGTAGTGCAGGCAGTCCTTTTAATATGAATTAAAGCCCTCTGAAGCTCAGGAAAGTTATCTCAAAAGTAAACAGAATGCCAACTACTAACAGTGAAACGATGTAGTTTCAGCAAGCCAGCTGCAGTGAGTCGTGGTGAATCACGTTCAGCCACCCTATCGCAGCATTCTCCAAGTCACGGCGCCCAGTCAGCCATGCGGGACTCCCTGCCCATTCACCCCTCTGCATGTACCACCACTACACACTTTAGCCATGTCACCATTCAGACTTTCGCATTTTTACTAATTCATTCAACTGTATCACTCAACAAAAACACATGAGTCATGTGCACACGACATCCACAACCGCGTGGAGCTACCGAATGAACGGTTGTGCCTCGCCCTCTCCGGCGTGGTCCAAGACCACATGCTGGGGCCCACAACAAACTCTTTGATTCTAATGCACCGCCTGATCTTCAGGTCGATTTTATCAATGGATCGCAGTTCCACTGAATCGGATTTGGGTGTAGAAGGGACCAGAACTCATGTTGGAGATTTTCGTGTGGAGGCTGTTTTCCACGAAAATTTTGCATTATTCTTGTTAACCAAAGAAATGGAAACTTGCCTTTTCTCCCAACGCCAATTTTGCAAGAGCCACCACCCCGCATTAGAAAGACGATGAGGAGAGCAGCGAGAACAACCACGGCGAAGAAGACCGTCAGTCCAATGATAACCTGCTCCACAATGGAATTCCGACCCCAGTAAAATCGGCCGCCTTTTTCGTTTGGGGCAAACCCCATGTGATCGGGGTAGCCGGCCATTGATAGGCCGCCGTTATGCTCCGATGGAACACGAAGCTGAACGGTTAGAAAAAAGGGTAAAAAGTCAATGCAATGCGCATTTGCTGTCACAAGCGGCAACTTCTCCGTTCTCGATGCTAACACGGGACAAAGGGAATTTAGATTTTGCATTCTGCGAGGATTGTACAAGGAAGTCACTAGTTATGTAGAAGCCAAATCGGCCAAAAGATCGTCAAGAGAGCGGGGACCAAATATCGTCGGTACACGATCACGCGCTGGCAGTAATATCCTCATATTAGTTCAGCGGCAGAAACTAACCATAAAAGTGAGCTATTCTATAGAGGTCGTGACTTATACGAAACAATAAATTTACTTTAATTTAACGAATTTTCAGTTGACTAACTTGTTTCATCGTGGGAGTGGGCAAAGTTAATTAGAGGAGGTAGTGTGTTTATCACGACGGAGACTGAATAATCGTTTTTGTGGTTAAAACAACTGAAACATTGAAGTTTTGAAAATATGAAGGCAATATTTAGTCTTATGTCTTCCTGTTTCACCTAGGAAGCATTCCTACATATCTCGGTTGTCACGACTTGATGCATTAGCAAGGGTTCCTGTTAAGTTGCAAATGCAGGGGTTAAAAAATGCGGCATGTGATTACTTTGGCTGATGATGCTATTGTTAAATTTAACTTTTTTATATCCTCCAATGCAATTTTGTGTGTGGCTTTCAGAAACCAGTTTCAAGCTAAAATTGCCACCTTTGCAACATGCGTGTATCTTTTAGGCCTTGCAGAGGAATTTAAAAGTGCAAGTACGCCAATAATTGTGTGGGGATATAACCTTGGCAATGTATCCATTTCAACGACTGTATAAAGGTCGATGTCGTGTACAACCGTGAATTTTCTCAAGCAGGATACTGTGAGGGCGGTTTCCGAAGCTGTGCTGAGAGACTTAATCATTGAAATGTGAACTAGGGTTAAACAGCTCCCGCTACCTCCATGGCAGTGTTCTGCTGAACTTGTTTGGAATAAAAATCATGCCTAACGACAATCATAACAGGGATTATAAATATTTCCCGAAACTATGCACAAAAATTCAGCCAAAAGTGCTTTGTACCGCCATAAAACGTCGGTATAACAAGGAACTACCTTTCGTTGAACTCCTACAATCCCTTTCTCCGAAGTCTTGGTGGAAAAGCACAGGCGGCTATTAGGCAGTGAATTTTTTTGAAGACAGCATTTGTTTGCGTTCTCTACCAAACTTCCGCCTAAACTGAAGGTCGTAGAACTAGTCTAAGCGGTTTTTTCCAGACACATATTAAGATGACTCCGTTGAACTAAAGCTGGTACTGCTGGTAGAACCCTTATTGGTTGCCAAGCGACATCAGCTGTTGTCGAACTTGTCTTGGCTGCGTCCCATTATGAAGTTACACTCATAGGGAACCACGAAACTGATCACAACTGCTTGCCTTTGTCAGGAATCGAGGGCATAAAGCATTTGAATAAAACTATAACGAGGTCTATGGAGTTGTCTTCCTTTGATCAACTCCATGAATACGATGTGTAAATTCCCTGGATATTCCATTTGATTCCAAAACCCCGTCAAAGGAAATCTGCAGAAGGTTGACCTACCGATACGACGTTTAGTGCGTGAGGCCCCACGGCAACACACGGCGCCTCATGTTGCATGGACTTTGTGCGCACAGCAGGAACGAGTGCTGAAGAGGGTGTTATTGAGGGCCCAGCATTCCCCAAGAAGGCTCATCGAGGGTCAGGATTTCGGTTTCGTTTACATAAATCCCAAACCACGCCACTTGAGTAGGTGAGTCACCCACGGAAATCTACTGACAGCCCTACTTGTGTCAAGCCGCCTTAATCCACCATGTCAAGGTCATCCTTGACTTATATAAATAAACACATTCTGAGGAATCGCTCGGTCTTCGGCTGACACAGTAAAAGTTTTCTGCAGGGGGTCATGTCTTGTATTGGGGTCTAGAGTCAGACAAGGGATCTGGGGTACCGGTTATCTGTGTGGTTACGGGCAAAACGTTACACCTGAACAAGTAAATTTTCTGTTAGTCATTGACTTAAAAACAAAACTCACGGTAAATAGCCACAAGTACATGAAGCAAAGCTATTTCGCTTTTAAGAACTTAGTGACACGTAATCGACAATGACAGGCATAAAACGAAGGCAAAGTCCACACGGTCATTCTCAAACAATTAACTAATAATTTTCGCGACTATCCAAAAGCTCTTGAATATGCAAATAGGACAGGTGTGCTATGCATAATAATGGGTTGGTAACATATTCTTGTGACAGCTGTATGATTACAATTGTCGTAGTGCATGATTTAGTAGCATGATTCGGCCTCAACATCACCTGAGCGCATTTGGCTACCAATACGGGGGAGCAACCACAAGTAAAAGTCACCTGTCAGCATAGCAAGAATTACAGCTGTTCAGAAAATCTAAGACAACGTGAAGAAATTCAAGAAATCAGCACCAGGTTTTTCAGAAAGCCTAATCAGGCGAGACATTCCGCTGTAGTATTCACAAGGAGCACTTTACACCCCTACCCGAGGATGACAAAATGTTGAAAAAGATGATCCTTCAAATGACCGATTGCGTGTGTGTGTGTGTTGATGTTCGAAATTAGGTGGTTCGATTCATCAGCATTTACCATCTGAGGTTAATTTGCTTTTTTTGTCACAGTCTCCAAGTTCAACAGTCAAGGCTAGGTTTTGCACCAACAAATTTGGGGTTTGCTATCGAGAAATTACTAACAAGTTGCCAATAATTTATTCCATCAATTAAATTTATTGGATGTGTTTAATGCTGCTTCAAGTCTGGAGAAACTACTACACCGGAGCTGACGACAGTTTGGTGAAACTGAATTGTCCAATCCAGGTTCTTGTAACTGATTGTCATCAACCGGCCAATTCGTTATTTGACGTTTACTAGCGTTGTTTTCTTAAAAATAATCTATATCTACCTAATTGTTCAGGAGCTGACCTGTATTTGGAGGTTGGGGAAGTAGGAGCATTGTTTCGGGGTACCCGAATCGCAGGCCTCCAACTTAAGGACGTAGGTGGGGCGCGCTGGAATGTCGCCGCCGTCGGCTTTGGAGGCCTTGGTCGCGGCGTCGGACTGCCACCCAGGCTCGGGCTTCTTGTCATCCTGAGCGACGACGCCGTGGGGCCTGGCGTCGGCTGTGGTGGCCGAGGCGTAGATGGCCTTCTCGATGGTGTGCCGGGGGATCTGGCCGTTCAGGTAGAGCAGGCCTTCAATCGGGGCCACGAAGAAGATGCCACCGGCATTGCCATCAACAATGGAATACGTCACCTTACCGTTCTCGCCCTCATCTGGATCGGTGGCGATAATCTGCGAAAGCAAATCCTTTTAATAGAAGGGATCTATGCATTCCCTTCTCTGGTCGCTCAGTGACTCAATATCGTGACAATCCGTGGACTATTCGGCTAATTAAATTAGAAGGAACCTACATAACAGACACGGATTAAAGTCGTTACAAAACTTTTTGCATCAGTAAGCTCATAACTGGACAACAACTTCGGAATATTGTTAGAAGTGCGACGTAAGGTGCACCGTGAAATTTTTTTGCACCTATAGACACCTTGATATCAAATAATGGAGCCCCCATGTCAATGATTGTTTAATTAACTAGGAATACCATATATTTACTAATTTGGTACCCAGTAGTTTTCAATTTCTGGAAGTGTTTTATGAGGTTCATCACAATGGCGCATGGTTACATTTTTTTCAAACATAACACCGCAGATCTCGCCAGTCTCGTGTCTTTACTTTAGCCACGTTTGATATGAGAAATTCGCTAACACATCTACGATTTTGTCTAGTCGCCCTGGATAGGTATATGTTTCAGAAAGTTCATCTCTCTTTAAATACACCCCATTTGAGCTACTTAAAGCTGGAAGTCACCACTCAAATCATTTGTCGTAATTTTTAATTTGCTCAAACACTGAGCAGTGACGCATGTAAATAAAAAATCTACTGCCACGAACAAGTGTAAACAGGAAAAGAAAGAGAAAATCCTCCCCCGATCTCGAATCTCAATAGCAGATTTATTTCTAGAGAGCCTATTTTAGAGATTTTGTATCATTTCCAAATCGCCACATTTGCAATGCAATTTCGCTTACGAAAGTTAAATTTAATGAGTGATCATTTCGGACAACTAGTTAGCGAGGTCATCCCTTAAGTGTTCTTTCGGGGTGAGGTCGAACCGCGTTTATTCAAACGACGTGATGTTAGAAGGACACCACAACACACATCGGTTGTCTCTCGCTGAGCCAAATGTGAATCCTATTCTGATTGGCTAGGAGAAGGTACGCGAAAAGGTTCCTGCCCAAAGGTGCTAGATTAGCTCAATTGTGAATTAGTGAGTCCTTGTGGCATGGTTTCCACGACTGCATCGTTCAGAATACTTGTAAGTCTTCGGGCTTATCTCGAAATACTCTTAAACCAGGGACTATACCAGAAAGTTGGTTTTTCCTTATGGATAATCTAGACCGTGTGGGACCAAATCGCATGTTCTCTGTTCCGAAATATTAGCATGAAGTGGTACCAATGTGTTTTGACAGTAACTGCAACACTAAAGGATCCTCCTGTTAGAGCCTTGGTTCACACGCAGCAAATCATGCAAAAATTGCTTTCAAGCTGCAGGTGCTAAACCTATCACCACTTGGAGGCTGGTGGGGTACTGAAGAACTGGAAAAACTTGTTGTACAGCGAAACTAATTAATTGAAGCTATGTGAGTCCCGAGATCGTGAAAGACATAAGAGGTCATTCGACTTGGGCTATGAATTAAAATGGATACACAAATAGGTAGGTGATTGCAGGCAGGAAATAGCTGTCAAATCGAGTAAGTCAAAGAGACAAGCAAGTCCTCCCATTAAATCACAACAATGGCTTTTCTTCCCTCCCCCCTTCTACTTCCTGTGTCAGGCCTAGAAGGAGTCGCAAGCATTAGATGCAGGTTTTCATGAGCTAATAAACAGAGGCCTTATCTGCAGAATCTTTGGGAAGCGGCGGCCCAGTAATACTGCACCAGCAGAACCGGAAGTCTGCCAGTGCGTGCCTCGCAAGGACCCCACCCCGCGCGCATGCCACAGCCGCGTTGCCGCATTGTGGACACACGCCTCTGGGGCAGAGTTCCTCACGTGCACTTGTTATATTTGTCATGCGAGTTGGGAAGTCCGGGTTGTCACATTTTGTGCTGTCTCACCTTACTTTGTCTAAGGGTTCTTACTGCGTAGGTATGCCTCATCTGCACCATTGCAAGAGATTGAGTTATAATTTGAAGTGCATCAGGCCTTTGCAGCCAGTGTGGCGTCCAGGAGGCACTGCACTTTCATCGTCAAGCCCCTAGCCTAGGCATTGTCAAGATTTATTGTTGGTTTGGTATGATAAATACTTAAATCATTTGTACCAAACCATTATAGGGCACTAGACTTGTAGACTAACGCACTTAAATAGCATTGTATGGAACTACAGATACGCAAAAACACTTTCTTAGCAAACGATTTCTAATTGGTGAGTGGGGAGAGGATTTTACAAACCAAGCTGCGCATTTGTATAGCCCCAATTCCGGGTTACCCTTCTAAACGCCATGCTGTTTGGCCTTAACTGCCTCATTCACGTCGATCGTTCATGGTTAGTTGACACAGCAATTGTGTCCTCGATAAGCGACGACTAGGGCAGTTGTATTAGTTGCAGAACCGAAAACAAAATGTATGAACAGTGGCCACGCACCCGCATTAGGGAGCGCCCTGGTGTGGTAGTTGGATCGAGTAGAATGAGATGGTTGCTGGCATTCGGCTGTACAAATTTGGGCAGATTGTCATTCTGGTCCCTCACATTGACCACTACGGACGTGGCCATGGTGTGTACGCGGCTTTTTGGAGGAGCCCATCGTTGATTGAGGGAGGATTCAACCGAGGCCTCGGGCAGAAGGCCATCGCTCACGAACACGCGAAATGTGTAAGTGCTCTGCTTTTCACGATCAAGGCGATCTCTAAAGTGAAAGAAATCGACTTTAACAATAGGGTAAAAGGAAATGGCTTTTATATTCATTTTTAGGAATGGGCTACAAGTTGGGCACTCTTGAAACCATCTTATGGGTTTTCGTAAGGCCAATTAAAAGAAATGCACATCATTGAGATTCACAGGCACAACAAGTCGTCTTTTCGAACGAAGTCGGTATGGCTATACCAGCAAGCCTTTTGAGACAGATAGAAGTACTTTGAAAATTTTTACGTTGATGTTTCCGGCCTTAAAATGAGGATATGATAGGCCGGAGTTTCTTTTCGCCCCATGGCAATCAGATTAGGCAAGGAAGGTCGTGATCGGCCACATAGCTGATTCCCTTCAGAGCCTGCCTCTTCCTTTATTCGCCGCATGCCATTTTTTCTTGGCCACAACTGACAGCCGACGTTTAGGTCTCTCAGTTCATTTATTAACAGGCAAATATCTCGCGACAAAGTCAACAATAATTACCAGCGATAAATTGCCTGACAAGGATTCATGCCTTAAATTTCATTGCCTCTTTGCTTTCTACTGCGTTTACACAAACAGTGGGTCGGGCCAGTAAAGACATCGCAGCCGACCTCTGAAGGAGCTCATTCTAGTTTATCCGGGGCATAAACTAAAACCCCGAAATCTGCGTGTTTTCTCCCACCTAACACTCTCTACGTTATCTGCTTGAGGATGTGCATTCGGACTTTAACGAGCATTTCGTTGTCAAATCATAGTAACGCTAGTTTAATATCCCAGTCAGACACCTTGTTAAATGATGTGCATTACCACGAGCGGGCTTATCACCTCCTGTCTGTGAAGTGAACGACATAGCCACGTGAAACACAACAATTGTTCACTCGTGCATACAGGGGACAGGCTCGTTTTGACGGAACTTGGGTGTCTGCTGATAATTCAGTCTCCTGTGGCGCACTAATTAGCGGAGGTTGGCTTGCACTGCCAATAACAAAACGACGAAGCCGTTTTACATTCCAATCTGGGCTTTCAAAACGAGCAAATGGCTTCGTACATTTTGCCCTTCATTCCAAATACTTTGCAGCAGACGTTTTATTGTCTATCGCAGATGGGTGATTTCAAAAAAAGTGGCTTTTCAGGTTTATCTGTGAGACCTGTATGGTCGTCACTCATAGGCGCGGCCTCGAATCTTATGTAAATCAGAAACAAATGTACACGTGATTCAAAGACCATGTTAATCATGTGCTTTTCTCCTTTAACTACACAGTATTTCCTTATGTCTGGCCAAAATTTCAAAGCATTGGTCTTTGAGAGCACAATTTAACATGCTGCACAATTTACTAAACATCGACTGGCCATTAGCGAAGTTGTGTTCATTGACAGAACTGAAAATACCAAATAAAGCCATGTATTCAGCTTGAGTTACGCGGATGTTAAAGACTCGTAGCTTATTTGTCTAGGATTTGACCATTTTAATGCAGCTTATATATTTTATTTCTGGCAGGTTGCAATAAGGAGTTACCGAATTACTGGAATAACTGATGACGTCTACCAAGATGGCTATACACCAATCCACTGCTCTCACGACGTAATGGTTGTTCTGAATAGCGATACATATTCCGTTCTGCAACAACGTCCGAATTAGAACGGGATTCTCGAGTCGTTGAGTGACCCCAGTCAGGGGTAAAGATTCTGAAACTCTCCCGCGCAAATGTCACCTACTTTTGGACAGATTTCGACTTCTTGGTAATTTTAACTTAGAATTAAGATTAATTGTGTATTAATGCAGGCGCACCTTGATTTTTCGTCTGCCGTGTACGGTTAGTAGGTGTAATTTTCGAGAAGGGGACAACATTTATACCACCCCGAATTAGCCCGTGTTTAAACGTGGCGAAAGAGCCACGGGGAATTAATTTTAATTTGCACTAACTGCTTTCAGGGTGCGCAGTTGAGATAAACCCCAGGAGAACCGCCAATCTTAATTTGCATCCACGCGTTGAGGTGAGGTAGACACCATTTCTCGAAAGTCTAATCTCCCGGTTAATCTCCCACTCACTGGGGGGAGCAGTGCCTAATCCAACCCTAAACCTTGTTCTCTACCAAAACAAGCTAGTCTTTCTAAACTACTACTGAACCAATTAATAACTGGGAATGCTACTCTTTTCCCCAATGTGTCACAACTTTCGCTTTGACTGAAGGGACTTTCAGAAGAGTGGGGCGTAGCCCCTGTGTGCATTAAGCCCACCCTCTCACGTGAAATGATTTTTTGCCAGATTATGATTATTAAGTGAAAAATACCTTAAACACGAAGAAAGCCATTTAACTGGAGGTGCGTCTAAGTGGAGCAAGGAAGACCCAAAAACTGTTCACGACTTAGTGATTGAGAGCTTTCTCGGATTTCAATAGAACCAGTGGCTGAGTTAGTTGTGAACAGATAGGATGGTAGCGACGTGAATTGGATCAAAGAAACTTCATACGTAGGAGGCAGACCTCTTCATTGCTGTCATTTAATCCCACAAAACGTTTCTATAGTGCACCTATCTATTTTTACCTTTCAGAATTACAAACCATGCACACAAAAAATAAGGTAAGCCTGCTCACATAAATGAGAATAATAAATGTGTTTAGTACGCATGTTTCTCCAGTGCATGCGTTGCAGTTGGGAAAGGGCTCGGGATCCAACTGCATGCTCAGTTGATTTTCACTCTAAATGAGAATACTCTGTCCTATGTCGTGTGTGTTCATGTAGACTAATTTTTAGTAAAAGATTTCTATCCTACTAATTACAGGTGTGTCAGTATTACAAAAAATTTCATAAATTCAAGGTATATCTGGAAGGACTAAATGTTTTGATTTTTTTTTCATTTCAAGTAGTGTGTTTATTTTATCCTCGAACAAGGGTTAGTAACTTCTCCACTCCATTTGGCTTACTGTTTGGCATTAAAACCCCAGTTCTACTAGGAACTTATGTACTTTCTTAGCATGTGTACATATACCACACAACACGCACCTTTCATTGCATGCACATGATATGTAAACAACTTGTGAGATTTCATTCCAACGTCAAGATAATATGTAATTGGTGACTGTACTATACTTGTAAATCTCTATCCTACAATGTGTCGAATACCGTTAAAGGGGAATTTTGGAAAGAAATATCAGAAGGAGATATAGCAGCATCCGGGAAGCTGTTCCAGTACGAAGAAAAAATTCATGAGACTACGCATTTGGGATAAACATAGACCCAAGCACTACTGAGGAATTTCATCGACTCCTTAAATGTCATCGAAGGCGGATAAACCGTGAGAGGAGCTTGAAAAACTCTTTATCACTCGGAAAAACCACTCAACTGCCAGAACATGCATAAACTTCGGAGGGTTTGGACCAGAGTGCTGCAGAGACTCAGTTCACTGTGGTAGGTAAAGATTTTGCCACCTCTAGGAAAGATGTTGACAGGGCCTCCAGATTTAGATAGCAACAAACACTGTAGTCAGAGGTGAGGAAAAATGCGTAACATACAATTTTTAATAAAGCAAAAGCTCAATTTCAATTATTTTTCCTTTTGGAGTTGAAATACAAGTCCATTTCTTGTATAGACCCCAGTCCATGCTGCACTATTTGTACCTAGGAATAACGCGCTCCTTGAAAACACGACCAACCCCGGTGCAGTAATTTTGAACAAATTGAAACGAATTAGTCAAATTGAGGAACTGACCCCGTAGTGATGTTTCCTGAATATTTGTCAATCCGGAAGGCGGCCGCATCTTTTTCATTTCCCAGAGTATAAATAAGCCGAGTAGACGAGGTCTGGCCTTTTCGACCGCCCGGCGTCCTGTAGATCTCCGTGCGGATCCAACCCAGACCGTCGCGTCCATCCGCAGTCTCTTCGTCATCTGCGTCGACAGCCGTCACCTGACCCACGAAACGCCCGAGGGACTCGTTCTCGTCAATCGAGAAGGAATATCCAGCCTCCGGAACCAATTGACCGACAAATTGAGGTACATTGTCATTCAAATTCTCCACGTGTACCAGCACTTCCGCACTTGCGGACAGTGGTGGGTCTCCATGGTCTGAAGCGATTACAATGAATTTGTGCCAACTTTTTGATTCCCTGTCCAACGGGACAACAGCAAACAATGCTCCTGTGTTTTGATCAATGGAAAAGTAGGACACAGATGCTTGGTCGCGTGGATCAGGCTCTAGGTGGTAGGAAATCCTCGAGTTTTCACCGGCGTCCACGTCCCATGCACGCACTCCATTCTCCCCATCTTGACCTCGAACTGGTCGTTTATCGTTGAGAGGAGCCATTGAATCGTCGATTTCAGCTTCTCCATCGTTTTCTTCGATAAAAAATTCATAAGCACTTCTGTCGAATTTGGGAGCATTATCGTTAACGTCCACCAGATTGACTCCAACATCCTGCCGGCTTACGTGATCTGCAGAGTCCTGACAGATTATGGAGACCTCAAGGCGTGGAGTAATTTCCCGATCCAGGCGTGCGTTAGTCATGAGCGAGTATTCCCCTTTCCCGTTTCCAGAAGGTGTTGAGGTTAACTGGAAATATTCCGCAACACTACCCTTGAGGTGACACTCAACTGTATCCAATCCTTCTACGTCGGGATCGATAACTTCTACCAATGCTAGTAGTTGTTCCGCGCTACCATTTTCCTGGGCAGTCGTTTCAATTGAGTTCAAGGCTCCAGCCTGACGTTCCTTTGGTGGATGAACTGGGTACACCTGGATTCTTGGTGCCTCGTCGTTTGTGTCACTCACCTGTAGTTGAATCGTGGTTCTTCCAGTAAGGGCATAGGCTGGACTGGCTCCGTCGACGGCTTCCACCCCAAAAGTGATTGGAGAAGAGCTGGGTAAGTTTTTTTCGCCGTCAATTTTGTCCACATTCAAACGACGGAGAACCTTCAGCTGCCCGCTTGGGGTAATTTCAAAGAAGTGACGAATAACATCTAACATGGGTTGACCATCATCTTCAAATCGATAGGTTAGTTCAGCGTTCGGTCCACTGTCCATATCCTTTGCGTTAAGCTGAAGCAGGCTCCTTCCGACAGGAGTATCCTCCGAAAGAGTGTCCACCTTATAGACGGGCCTCTCGAACATCGGAGTGTTATCGTTGACATCAGTTATATTTATTACCAATTTTAGGGTGCTTTGTTTTGGAGTAGGTGTGCCAGCATCTCTTGCGACGAGTAGAAGTCGGATTGTCTCTGGAAGCTGTTCACGATCGATCAAGGTTTTTGTTCTTAGTGCCAGTTTCTGGTCATTAGGCTGCTGTGACGGCATAATCCCTGAGGTTCTGTAGGAGGAGGCACTCTCTGAATGCTTGATCAGTTCAAACAGTCCAAGCTGTGAACCACTGTGGCGATGTCCGCCAGAGAACCCACTATCATTGTCATCATCACTAGCCTGAAGGCTGTAGGTTATCTCACCATTAATGCCAATGTCGTGGTCTTCGGCAAGAGGAAGGTAAAGAACCGTTCCTGGTGGGTCTTCATCTCGCAGGGACAAATGAAGTACTGAGGAATTCCATGTTGGAGCATTGTCATTTATGTCAAGGATATCTATTTTGATATTGAATATTTTATCACTGCTTGCCACACGAAGAGCAACAGTGCAATCTGACTGTTGGGAATGAGAAGTCAGTGTATCGTAACCGTGAAATGTGGGACGAAATAGTGGTAGTCTGCCGGTCTCCTCGATGTGGAATGAATGGCGTGGAGAAGAGTCCTGCTGAAGCCCTCCTATGGAAGCACCTTTCGAAGAGCATATCGCCTCGCGGTCGACTCGACCTGCAACAACTAGTTCCAGTCCAGAGTGGACTCGCTTAACAAAGCTGAAACTTGAGGCTCCGGGTGATTTCCTGTTTATTATGACAGGGAGGGTGTCAGGATTTACAAGAAGAGGAGCAAGTGCGGAGCCGGAAGCAACTACAGTTCCACTGGGAACTTCTTCTTGAAGACGGAAGGACAACTCCGTGGAGAATACGAGGTGAAGAGTAGAAAAGAAAAGACAAAGCTTGAATTTGTCCATGTTGTACTGGTGGGGATCACAAGTGTCAATTCATACTAGGAAGGGTCGGAAAAGGAAGTTACATAAAAGAAGGAAGAAGACATGTGTAATTAAAATCCCTATAATTCATAAGTTATTTCCTATCCCCAACACCATTAAAGACATATTTCCTTGTCTGCTACGACACTGGAACCATCTATCTGATAGCATCAAGTTTTCCTGAAACAGAAGGATGTTGTTCGCTTCGAAGAACATATAAAACAATGTCCTGTGTACGACAAGCGTTCATAAGGCAAATCATTTCATCTACAATGGCTAGAATGATGTGCTAGGAGTCAAAGAGAATTGGATTTGTTATAAATTTTGTCTACGGAGGATTTGAGTGGTGTTGCGTTATCTGTGAACGGTATCGAAACTCAAGCACGCATGACTATGTCGTCATGTCCCGCCCTCTTTAGCAACGGTGAGCATTAAGTTGGAGTCATGGCCGATGCCAACAAACTGGTTCATTAAGTCATAATGATATACTAGTACGTGTCTTAGGCTTGTGGATCTGCTCGGATGCGACGTCGTCTTCCAAACTTCTGATGTTCGATATTTGAGCAAGTTATAGGACCCCGCGGTTGTTCCCTTCTTCAGTAAGGTGGCAAAACTGGGAAGCGCCTTTACATTGCGGTTTCAAGTATTGTCGGTTTACACGAAAATGCGATTTCAGGGTCAATGGGGGGAAAAATTCGAAAATTAATTTATCCTAGAATTGGCAAAAAATAACCTTCGGGGACACTACGGAGATGACTCGTTGGATTTGATTTGTTTTCGCCGAAAATACCCCCACTGCATTGAAGGCTGACTAGACACCGAGATTCAAACGCTCCATCAGACTAAAGTTGTAGACATCACGCGTTGCAGCCCCGGAAATGATACTGCTAATTTCGATCATTTGATACCGCCAGTGTCGCATTACTGGAGGTGGAGTGGGATGAGACAATGCATCAGCATGGCTGACCGTTGACGCGTGAACGGATGTAGCACCCGCGCACAGACATTGTCATAGCACAGCTCACAACCAATTTGTGAATTCGCCATCTCTGCATACCCCGCTGTCTAAGCAAAGAATCTCACCTGACCTCGACGTTACCACGGCGGATGATTCTACATACAAGATCACCCAATGATTTATCCAAGCAAATATTCTGTCGTACATAGGTCAAATCGAACGGATGTTTGGAAACGATGCACTCTCATTGGGCAAGGACTGGACCATAGTTTAGATATCTTTTTGATGACTGAGTTGGCAACCATCTCCGTTACTAAATCTTGCGCACCTCTGTTAAAAAGCGTTGGATTGGAAGAGGGATGAGCGCGCTTGTGAAACATCTCTACCAAACGGCCATAGCTAGACTTCAAATAATCAGTCCAGGATGGCATCTGTTGCCCCCGTTGTTACTTGAAGTTGTCGGAAAGCGGAACTGGGTGGCAGTGGGGGCACGTCAAGTAAGTTAACATCTGCGTGTAGTGGACCTCCGTGTGTCGAAGGGGTCAATCCGACACTAAATCTATACATCGCACGTTAGTTATGGATGTAGGTGGGGGACCACGCCAAGGTGGTGCACCTGGTGGCCCTTGTCAAGGAGGCACACACACACACACACGTACACACGAGTAAGCCAGGTGTACATTCGTCCGGCACATGCCAGTTAAGTGCGCGCATGACTATTGGTCACGGAGCCGGCCACTACGTACATCAACAGTCGAAGTCTAAACAATGGTAATTTATGCGGAAAGTGCAAGCACAGGTTTCGTGGCAGGCAGGCAGCGGGATGTGTTTTGAGGCGTTTTACTTCGATTACGGGCCATCCTTCTTTGAAGATCCTGAGCACCAGGAAGCCACAATTTACGCGTGAGTTCACGTGCACACCACCATGTTTAGGGGCAAGCCCAAAAGTGGGGGTCGCTCATCACCAGTAACTTGTCCTTTCCCAACTGGCGCAGTCGCTGTCGCACTTGAAGGCGATGTCAACAAGTCCTGTGACGAGCTCTTTAATTCAGCTTGCAAATCCCTATGCGACATTCTGCTCCATCTTCAAGCCATGCTTTGAGAGTCATGGGCAGATTTTGTGTGGATTTTATGACTTTTGACGTTAACAAACACTTCAAACTTTACTATCTGTGAAAGGGTGGACATTGATCTGGCCACGGCCAAACCACGTGCTCATTCATGCCTTCCATGACAGCACACTTTGAAATAGCGACACAAAATACAGATCAATACCGATATCGTATCGTATAAATGCTATTTGGAACCCCGGTTACTTCTTGGAGAAAAGTTGACTCCACCTGTATTTTCATCGTCTATGTTACATTAGGTTTCTATGAGTCATTAGGATTTCGTTCTAGCCGCGTAGCTCATTTTATTTACACGATTTCAGAGAAGCCAGCTTTTATCCGACATCCCCTACAAGCGGTCTTTTAGCAACTACATGCAATTCAAACATTAAGGTATCCGAGAATGTGCATAAGTAACAAAGCTTACCTATGCCAGTTTGGCAGAATGATCTGTGCCACTTATAACTACGAGGGGGACGCACAGGTATGCCAAAGTGTGCGGACACGAGTGAATGACTTTCAGTTGTTGCGGTCAGGTCTCGTGCTACCGTGGCAGTGTGCGTGCGTTGTATGCGCGTGCACTCTGGGACACGCGCTCGAATCAAAATAGGCGGCCAGTTTGACCAATCACACAACGGCTTTCCGAACACGCAGATGGCCAACTGGGCGAGGTGACGCAGAGTTCATGGCCTCCATCCCAAGTTCGGTGCCCGAAACAGTCCAACACCTCGCATTCAACGTTTACGGATAGTACGGAGGCACTATGAGGACCAATATGGGTTGGATTTGCAAAGATGGCAAAGTTGCTATGACACCAGCTTGGCTTCCCTTCAGAGCATCGAAAATTCAATTACGCAAAACGGGAATCTAAAACGAATGAGTCCAACAAAACTTGAAACTTATTCTGTGCGTTTTATTTTTTAAACCATGCACACTCTTGGTAGGTTCTGCGTCAATCAGGATATGGCCAAATCTGGCAAAGTGAATGATAATTGTTGTACAAAACAGCAAAACGTGGTGGAATGTAAATTATTTCATCTGGCTATCCCACATTCCACGACTGAATTATGACGGAACTCTCTATTGGGGAATGTGAAATGTGGTACTGCAAAAGTCACTGTTTATAACTACCGAATCTTAAAGCCACACAACACATGTTGATGGTGTTAACAGGGCGGAAAACGAATTCTGCGCTGTCTGAACTGTAGGCAGATGTGGAGGGGCTTGCTGGCACGATGTAAGGGCGTAATGAAGCACAATTTACTGAAGACGGTGGGTCAAATTTGAAACTAGCTAGATGAAGCAATTCTGTAATTCTTGGTTCATTTCAGTCCGAATAACGGGGACATTGGAGCATTTATAACCCATTAAACCGATGGCTCAGGAAGGCGTGTTTGTTTCAATTATTCTTGAAAAAGTGGATTGTGTGCGAGGACCAAGCTGTGCAGGCTGGAAAGTGCATCGTGACTCTGACAAAGAGGACTTGGGACGCCAACCGAACACGACTGATTTCCGCCGGCCAGCAGTGCTGACGGCCCCAGGAATTAAATGCCTTTTAAACTATTAAGGCCCAGTTTTGCATCCGACACAGGGCCGTCGATATGCGACATATCAGTAGTGCTTGGAATTAGTGTTGCTGTGTGAGTAGAACCTTCCGTAGTCGAAACACTTTATTTTACGCAGTTGCGCCACCGATTCAATAGGCACAGCTTTCTTCTCCGGTCTTTATTGAATTATTATCAAAGAAGTTCACAATGGCAAGCACCGTGTATCCTAGTCTTAACTCTTTGCAGTCCATTTATTGAAATCTGTTCCATAAACGGCAGTTCGTTATCAACATGGCTGCTCTACTACTCCATTACTCCAGACCAATTGCTGATTGCTTGAAGTAAGCATTGAGTCAGGATGACCAAATAATTTAAAAAGGAATGCAATTGACTTCGATTTCGCTGGTATTTCTGCATCACACTCGGGTGAATAGTAAGACACTCGATTTAATGCAGCAGCGTCAAAGGACTGAACATTTCTAAATGGCTTGATATGAAAAAGTGTGTCGCGAATGCGATATAGATGGGAAGTAAGTCCACACAGCAAATAAAAAGGCCTCTGCAGACAGGTCAGACACACACTAAAGGTACTTTGGTGAGTGTCTGTGAAGTCCCCTATGTTAGCCGCTCCAAATACGTCCCGCTTACTTCTTGGTTGTGGGACTCGAACGCAGAAGCCGGTCCTCATAAAAATGGCATTCAAATTGCAGTAAGTTGATAATTTAAAAAAATCCCAGGAGTTCTGTAGGCGAAGGCTGCATTCCTCGCTGTATGTTGGTTAAACATTTCCAGCGAAGGTGTGAGCCACGCAGTTTTAAACCTTTAGGTTAAGTTATGCTGGACTTCAGTGCGTGCAACTGCTTGAATAAATATTTGTGTTAAGGATTGTTGCCAATCTTGTTTGTTCAAGTTTATCTCCTCCGCCCACGCATCACCTTGTTCAATTATGACCACGTGCACAACAGCGCCCTACACACACACACACACACCCCATCCATCCAGTCACCCAACCTCTACCGACTGAGGCCACCACGACACATCGTCCCATTCCACTCATTCACGAGCTTGTATGACAGACACGTCGGGTTGAGGGACCTGGCAGACCGTTGGACCTGCATTGCCACCTCCTCGTTCGCCTCCAAGCATTTGCGAGTGTTCAGCCTCGGCAGCTTGACAGCACCACAGTTCCCACCCTAAAGTTAACACCCGATCGAGGATTGCCATCGCGGCTAGTGATCGTACGGCTGCACATCATCTGGTCGATGGTTGCGTTGACATTTCATTAAGACTCAAAACTACTCACCAACCTTCACCTTCTATAGCATATTATTAAACTGAAGCATTACATCTAGATTGACCAAATAGCTTTTGGAAAAGCGTTAAAACAAAGATTTATGCTTACAGTCGTGCTTCAATTAACTTATAATTGAGGAATCCAGGCTGTAGATAAATAGAAACAAGTTGAAAATTCTAATTTGGTACTTAGGCAAGTAGAGAAACTTAAAAGCTTTTTAGATCTAATATCTGGAATAAAATGGCCGTTCGATGACAACAAATCTTGTACGAAGACGAGATTTTACTTAAACTTCATTCAAGGTCGTGAATAGCGAATAAGTAATTTCTAGTGATAAAATATGAGTAGTATGTTGTCAGGAATTGTCACAAAATCATGAATGCTTTGCCTACAACGATCGTATTTCACAGGATAACTAATTTGTAAGATGCGATACAAAGCATTTAAGGACAGCTCATACCAAAAACTGAAGATCGTATTGGAAATGCGCTCTCAGAATATTATGCACACTAAAATAATGCATAAAATAATTCAAATGGAATGCACAAATTGTCCAAATGCGTGTTCAGCGAGGTATGACGAAACTGACAGACGTGCATTTGCTCCAGTGATGTGCATGGTAGAATCGAGGCAGGGCAGTCTGCTGCGACAGAGGACACACAGATGATCGAAGGCCACCTTGGTGCAGCACGTCCGCCAAGTCGCCATCACCAGCACTGCTGTCCACCTCCTTTCTCAGTTGCCGGTGTTCTTTGTACCACGAAGGTGCTGTCATTGGTCTACTCGCGACGAGCAGGGCATGTCGTGATCCAAGCACGAGTTTCATTCGCGTGAGACGGTGCCCTTCCTTCTGCTGACACTGTAGGATCCTCTCTCCCCGCAAAATTCTCTTGAGGAGTCAGTTCATTGACAGGCACCTCCACGCTGCCCGATTTCGATTCTTCAACGAGGCTATTTGATAGAATTAATGTGATCACCAAAAACGGGTGGTTGTTCAACACCCCATGCTGTACAGTACGCAACGGCGGTCAGTCTGGAACTCGGGCATTGGGCCATCTACCAGGCGTTTCGCTTGGCAACGATGAGCACCTCAAAAGTTAGCTTGATAACTATTTTGGAAGATGACTAGCGGATTTGTATCGAAACTAGATCAACTTGGTCAAATGAAGCAAATTTACTACCGATCTGTATAAGTAACATTTAATGTAAATTATAGATTGCGTTGCTTTTCCTAAATTCCTCTTCCACTTGTGTTTATTAAGGCATCAAAAAATTTGGCTATTTAGCATAGAAAAGGGACTTAGTAACTTAAACGTATGTCTGAAATCGATTGAGCTTAGAGAGAGTGAGTAATTTTTGCGATCAACCCAAACGCTTTTTGACTTCCACAAGGCTCCAGCAGGTGCCCCTAAATTAGACATCACGAATGTGAGTGAAATGGAGGAAACGCAAAATCAGATTTTTAATGTCTTCACGGCAGCCTGACTAGACAGAAGAGGTCGGGCCGGCGACAGAGTGCCTAATCTGTCTCCTGGAGATTACCCCCATCGTACTGCTTTTACTAAACAAAGACAATAGAGTAATTAATCGCCTGCATTCCACAACAACGATAATTTTGAAAGTGTTCCGCGCTGGGTATCATTTTACCCGACCATCCGCCAATAGCTCATCTGCGGGCCAGTGGGAGGGGGGCGTCGCGATTTGTGTTGCCTAACTTGGACCTTCTATTGCCGCCCACGCATAACGAAAGCTCATTGTTTACTGAAGACACTCTCGACAAAATAGTAGTTGCCTACGTACCATCTGTGGCCTCTTCTACCCACGCTTAGAGATGCAACCATTCCCTCTTCTTACGTTGCATTTCGCGTTATCATTGGGCGTTGCTGAGTTTTCAAACAAACCTCATATTTTAGTAAAACACGTGCATGTTATTTTTGGTATGCGATTAACCAGCTGCAAAAACAACTGTCATAACTGGTCACGTCACGGCTGTTTTGTTCACGTCATTCCCGCGTTACCTTGAGCTCAGTGGGATAAGCGAATTCAGCAGACTTGATTGACCACTCCAGACCTTCTAACCAGCAGCCCACAAGTAGTCAAGACTGGCTTCTCGTGACTGCAATCCCTAGAACGTCTTGCTCTCCGGCTAATCCTCGCAGTCTTGGAAGGCCCGGGCCCGTTGTTCGGTTTATTGTGTTTGTGGAAGACGCGTTTATTGCCGCCCATAAAATGCTGACGCGGCGGGTGCTTGCGCAAACACGGTGAATGTCACGCCCGCAAGTCGGTTGTCGTTGTGCCCCTGGGGAGGGGGGGGGCGAAGGGCAGACCAGGCGAGTCGCAGCAGGCGTCGGGTGAGCAGGGCCCGGCATGCAAATTCGTAAGAAGACGATTGGCTTTCGGTCCGTAAGAAATGCGTTTTTCAACCAAAGTGCAACTCTTTCTTTACCTCTCAGAGTGGAATTTGAATCTCCCTGAAAAGAATGGCGTAATACGCATAACAGAATAAGGAACTCTATTGGCATGCTTCACTAAGATGAGGTGAAGGGAAGGTAAACAGTCAGGTTTTCGTGTTCTAAGGGATTTACCGATGAAAAAGTCAATTTCGTCATTATTTACACAACATTTGTGCGGAATATCTGACTTGTCTTTTGAAAGAATACCATTCATGTGAAGCGCAGTCATCAGCTACCACATCCTTGTTCACAAAATATGCAAGGCCCAAGCTAAAATTTGCTAACAACTTATCAGTTCTGAGATTGCGCAATTTTCCCAGCTTAACCTTCATGAACCTACAATAATGCAGAGAATACGCGGTCTTCGTGAATAGAGAGAGTTTCACCAAGGGTACTATTTGCTGCATTTAGTACTATGTTTGCAGTTTACTTACTCATTCCAAGGGTAATTAAAAATAGGTACAAAATTGAATGAATTAGAGGAGCGCAACTCAATAGTCCGTATTTCGTTGGATGGGTCATCGACGTTTGACAAACATCAGTCTATGAGACTTAGGTAAATGCAGGCCCGGAAAAACTGGCTTGGTGCTGCTTCCATGCCGAAAGTAGTGACCTGTGACCACTTGCCTCTGTTGGAGACCTATTTTAAGCCTGCCTCTCCCTTTGAATACCTCTAATATATCTGAGATGCATTGGCACCAAAAGTTTAGAAATTATTATTAGCCACTGTTGGCACCTTTGGGATTCCTACATACATCATTCGAGTGAAAATCAGCTCATTTCACAATTAAAATGGTTAAATTTTTATTATTTTTAGGGTTGTTTTAACAATTCTACATTATTCTATGCTTTTATTTTAACCACAAATCCACCTACTGCGCTAATCGATTTATTAGACTGGCTACTTTGAACCAGGCGTCGGAGCCTAGCTCTGAGCTTCGTTCAACCCCCCCATCCCACCTCCCCGGCATAACTCACCCATGAAGAAGGCCTCGCCTTAGCTGATTGAAGGTACGGAAGTCGTTGAGAGAATAACATCTCTCCAGTTGGAATGACGACTGAACCTGTATTCGCAAAGTCGGCCAAACCGAATATCCACCACCCTGTCCCCAACCATTGGGTGCCTCATTTGGCGCAGTGCAAACAGTCAGTATTCAGTCGCGTGTCACTTGGGCGATAGCATCTACAGCGCTGATGTCTGGCGCTGATTGTATCAAATGTGTGCAAAGACCGGGGACTGGGATATTTAAGCAGACACGCCGGCCGGGAAAACGCACAGATTCTCTATTTGGGAACTTTACTCATGGTTTTCAGTAGAAGGAGCAGACACTAAAATTTCCCTCGTAATTGAGTTTATAAGGAGAGAAATTGATAGTTGCAAGAGAACCACGTAATCCAAGTTAGCTTTGTTAGAGATTGTTTAAAATAATTGTTTTTTTTGGCCCGTTTGGTTACTTCAGCTACAGCGTCCCGATTACTAATACTGAAGTACTACGGTAGAGACTGACCTTAAACTGTAAGACATGGCAAGGAAAGAATTTCTTATCTGATGGATTTATAAAGTTTCCTGACACCTAGTCAGCTTGCATTTCAGTAGCTAATGCCTGGGCTTCTTTGCTCACAGGTTGGTGTCAAATACAAACGCTCTTATGTAGGTTTAATAAGAAGTAGCTTTGGACAGGGACAAAGTGTGAGGTCGATAGGAGCCTGTGGTGAATTTCATTGGCCAACCGTTAGACTTTCGGTTTGTGGGTGCACTAGGCAAAAAATTTGGCTAATTATTTCGATCATCTGTATCTGGGGTGTGTTCTGCTGTTGGTCATCTAGCGCAAATCTATCCATTACGCGGTCGCAGATTGAGTCAATAAATAGATGTGAAAGGTAGAATAAAGCATCATGTTTGCCTCTTGCACGCCAGTTTTAAGCTGCGCTTCTACTTCCACATGTTTTTTGCGTGCATTTTTATCTTAGGTAATTCCTGAAGATGACATCCACGAGCATAAAAGGTGGCTACGTCTAATTAAGACAGCCACTTATTTAACTAACCACCAGTTTCGGCTTTCTTTTTAGGCAGCTATAAAAGCTGCCTATTAATTCTCAGGTCAAGAAGCGAGAAGTGTAATTGACAGTGGCATCCCCTTTCCACGGGATGGCCCAGATGTCCAGTGAAACGGCTTGATTTTTTCAGTTTTTCAAATGCGGTTTTTCAGACGCCTCTTGATCACACTCATTACGGCTTCTCCTCTGGTCACCGGTTACTTTAAATTCAGACAACCGACATGCAGTCGAGCACAACTCTCATTGTCAATCCTTGTAAATTCCGAGTGCCATGTTTGGCCAATGGAACAATGGGATACCACAACTTTGCATTCGTCTCCATTTGTCAGCAGCAGTGGCAGCACAAGAGGAACCGCACTATTCAAGGAACTCGTTTATAACCAACCAGGGTTAGACCAAAAAGTCTTGATGTGGTCCGAACGGAGTCCGAAAAGTCACCACACGCGTCCTGTTCAAATGTCACTCAAAAGCTAATATTTACCTGCCCCAAGGCTTGGCAATAGACAAGTTTATTGACGTGTGGGTGTCTGATGAACAGTCATGAGTTATTAGCGGGGGAGGGGAGCTGGATGGTGGGTGTCAAGGCGGGGGGAGGGGTGTGCAAGGAAGAGCGATAAGCCAGCACAGAGGGGTTTTTCGAGGGATGATCATCCCCACTCCAAAACAGTAAGGAGTGAAGTATAAAGTACCAACTGGGTATTTTGATTCGCTAAAGCAATGAAGACCCCATTGTTTAACTGCTCCAAGATTCTGGTGGTATAGGTGACACCTCAAATTCGCTGGAAATGAATGAGAGCGAATCCAAGTTTGACTAGTGGCACGATTTTTTACGTCTATTTCAGCACAGTTAAGACAGCCTCTGCGTTTATTTCCCTGATTCTCTATCCTGATATACACGGACCATCCATTTGCGTTCATTTTGCTTTGTTCAAGATATCCAAAAAATTGTCAACGCCCAGTTGTCTTGGGGGCGTTCCTACTGCAATAAAAGTGTTATAGCTAAGTCAGCTTGATAAAATAGTTCACCGGAAATGTTGTTTCAAGCAAGACTGGAGTGCACAAAATCTGTTAGTTCTGTGTCTAAAGGGTTTAATCGAGGATTTTTAAAATATAGTTAAGCATTTAATGTTCCTTCTAGATTTTGCGTTGTCACTTTTGCTCGGAGGGCCAGTAACGTAGCTAAGTGCGCGTTGGTTGGATCAACCCGCGTGTTGAGACAACGTAAACTGGCGTGTTGGCATTTAGTAATAACTGCTTTAGATGCGATCCTCAAATAGGCTGGCAGTGTACTTAAAGGGCTTTTATTTTATCAATTTGCCGTTATCTAAAGCCATATCCTCACATTGGATATTACCAATGTAGTATTTGTCACCTCAGAATTTTTCCAGTGACTCAGAAGACTCAAGCCGATGAATTCTTGGCTCAGATGTAGCATAATATATGAAGAGCATGCACTTCTTAGCTTCTGATTGACTTCAATTTAAGTTCAACCACAATTGACTTTTAAAGGTCAGATAACAGGCCTTGTGGCTTGGGACGAGAAAAGCAAACATATAAGCGTTTTCCAGAGCACCAATGAAATCCCAAATATTTGGAAACCAATACTTCTACTCTCGGGTGCGTTTGTTGTGGCTGGTCTCGGTTTAGAAGCAAGTCCAATTTGAATTTCTTCATTATTGAAACTAGACACAGTCTGCACGAGCTCTGTGATTAGGTTTCAGATTGTTCGATTGTATTAGCGCATTCGTCAAAATTCTTTAAAAAAAACCATCAGAACAGATCAAATTTCACAAAGATGCCTGGTTTCGCGGATTATACCCGAACGCATGAATCTATAGAGGCCCCGAAGGGGGCCATCAGCCTACTTCGACGACGGTGGTTCAGCCTTTTATTGCGTCGATAAAAGGGATGTTGTTTCGTGTGACGAGATATTTATTGTCGTACATAATCACTCAACTCACTGAACAAACGCCACCACGTGAGTAGGCATCACAATTCAAATCATCGGACGCAAAAGCATTCCATAACATTCGCGAACTGCCGATCGTCAACACCTCTCCCCCTTATCGATTGGAATGTTTGTGTTGACTGAGGTGATTCAACCACTGAAAGGTTGGGTTGATGATGCGTCTCGATTGGTGTAAATAAGACCAGCATAAGCAATACCGGATATAGGAGCCGAAATCGAAGAACAGTAAAAACGACCCTTCAACGTAGATTTTAATAGCTATTATCCTAAATAATAAATATTGCGACAACAAATAGACTAAACAGTAAATGTTCGGCCAAATGTATGCAACAAATAGAGTCCTTATCACTATTGGACATTTTGAGTAGTGTTCCAAAAAACCAATATGGTAAAACAAAAGGTTACACGAAAATAACGCGACAAATGTATCAGTTGGCTACACCAACACTTACTTTCTGTCTGATACTACTAGATGGACAGGGCGATGTTTTCGTCAGCGAGAGACAGTCAGGGCGAATTGTCGCTCCGTGCCCCATCGTATTCACCAGACCACACAGCCTACACGTGACTGACTTGTCACCTAACTTCTTCTGAAGAGTCAAAGCCACTGTTGTCGGAATGGAGGAGAATGGGAAGGGGTTATAAGGTGTTTGGATGTGTGAACGAAAACGCGTGTTTATGGTCTCTGCTTCAAATTTTTCAATTTTCTCAATTTTTCCGTTGAAAATTGTTTAATTTCAAGAGAGGTTGGGTTAGTTTTCGAAACGCCTGAAGTTCGAAAAGGCATTGAAGTAGGAAATTGGGAATGTGGTAATTTTAAGTTCCCATTAAATTGGTTGACTTAGTAAATAGTCTTTTTATGAAAGTTTAAAATTTAATCATAACTTCTTTTTAGTGGTTTGGTACCCCTTCAGCACGTTCTTTCTTCCTTATTTTAACTTTGCTCCGTGGGAACTGAATTGACATTTTGACACTTTTGCCTTCGCCAAATTCCTTTAGAACTCTGGACCTAAAAATAAAACGTCGTCCAAAGACGACAATTGCAGAGAGGGTGGTGGGACAAGTCAAAGTCGATTCCAGAACACGGGAAGGGGCATTGGCTCGGTGTTTCATGGCACAAACACGGACAATGGGACCATGATAAGGTTTGCACAGCACTCAGGCTCCTCGTTTACCCTGGTCGTTTTGTTTTCATTTAGTTCAAAGCCTCGACGACAACAGTGGAAAATTGCAACTAACCTCAAGGCATTAAGCGATAAGCATGACGAATGCAACAGAACAGGAGAAGGGGACTCGTTCAATTGCTTGAAGACGTCTACCGATCAGGTTGACGGAAATGGAATAAAACGATGGAATAAAAACTCAGAAATAGTTTGGTACTCTCAACAAAAATAGCCGCTGAAGCTTAATTTTACAAATCAATTTTTGTAAGCATCAGCGTTTATGTACGGGACAATCGCGAACAGTCATAAATATTCGTGAATAGCGTGGATAAAAAGACTTTCCCTGCAGTAAACACATCACATCAAAAGTTTTGTGTGGCATGATCATGCCAACGTCGGTTGCAGTCGTCGTTTATGCCATCAAGCGTCCCTAGTTTCGCAGTATCGTTGAAGAATTATCATTGCAGGTGATGTCATATCTACACAACTGTTAACAAGAAGCACCGTCATCCAGAATTTTTGAGCCTAGTACTGATAGACCTGCCCAACGACAAGCGAATCACTTTCTCACTAGCTTAACCCCAAATTTCAACAGTCAGGAGTCGTTTTTTCGTAATTTTACAAAATCATTCACAATCCCCATTCCTAGTTAATATTTTGGTCCATGACTCACGCAACGTCCAGGTCAATTTTACGATGAGGCGACTTGTAGCAACGGAATTAACTGTCAACCCCTCAGACTCTCCGTACCATGGTCCAGTCCTCGCCCAAACAACCACAACATCGGTTCGTTTCGACTGATGTGCGGCAAGCAATCTGCTTGGATAAATTAGTGGGTGATCTCGCAGTTGGAATCATCCGCTGTGGTGATGTCGAGGCCAGGTGATTCTTTGCTTAGACAGTGGGGTATGCCGAGGTGGCGAATTCACGAATTAGTTGTGAGCTGTTCCTTGACCGTGCCTGCGTGCGCGTGCTACATTGGTTAATGAGTCAATGATCGGTCGTGCTGGTGTACCGGTTCTTCTAGCCATGACGAAGAAGCTCTGGTGTCTGACCCACGATCTGCCGAAATTTGGAGCGAAGGGGTATGCAGGCGCTGACTGCACTGCCTTCAAATCGGTGACACGTTTTGTCCACAGCCCGCGTTCTTCATGCATTTTACTACATCCCGTCATCCTTGGTTGGTTGTTCCTCAATCAAATAGTGTTGACCCAGTGTCGGGGCTGCAGGAAAACCAATCAATGAGATAATTTGATTTGATTTTGGACTGTCCACTAGGTACAAGCACACAGACGATTAGTCAGTGTTCTGTTCGAGCTGCAACCCATGTTTCCTGTGGTCAGTCCCACATGACCCCCAGCCTGCCCTTGTCTCCCTGGGTCAACCTAGCCTGGTAACGCTGTAATGAGGCCGGTGAACGCCACACGATCCAATTATTGCACGCGTGTGTGTGTGCGCGCGCGCGCGTCAACCTTTGCCCTCGCGCAGCCCCGGGACCCAAATTGCACCACGCTGAGCCTCGGCACGTAGTCACTAGCTGACAACGCAAACGCCTTGCGTCTTGGTGAGCCCCTCAACTCCCTCGAGGTCCACTTAGATGCACCGTCGCCTGACTTTCAAACACTGATTACCACGCAAAATAAGTGTTTGTCTAGTGATTTCGTAAAAAGCTCACTGCCATTTCACAATTTTACGGTGCCAATTTCAAATCAATGCCCCATCGCACATGCTTTGACTTTACGAGCCAAATCTATCGCAAAAGAGGTCTAGTTTTATGCGCTTAGGAGTTCTGTGAGAAGTTGGCTCGGAAAAGCATTCAAATGTTTGCGGGCAATGGCCTGACAAACTGGTGCTTTATTCTATGGCCAAACAGTAGGTCTTTCTTGGCTCAGTTTGCCCAGCAGAACTCGCTATCCTTTTTTGCACTTTTAAACACGTGAGACAGCATTCATTCTTGGCTAGGCAATCGACAGTTTGAGTTCACGCACAAAGAGAGTGGTTTTGGGGGGCGGGGTGGTTGGGAGACATGGCAGTTTTGTAAAACGGGCATAGAGTGCGATTATGTGGGGACCTCTATGTGGTCTGATTGGCTATGACGGCGATAGGTTGTGTGCTATGGACTCACTACATTTCGAAGATCCCCCTTCGCGTCTAACAATGAGACGTGTTAAGTTCACACACTGATGAGTGGGTCCTTCTCTGGAGAGCTTAAAAAAATCCACATTAAGCCAAGCATGTTGTTGATACTAGGCGCAGCTCTCTAACCTGAAAATTGGAATTTGTCAGCGTCAATTAGATACAAATATTTTTTCAGGCCCCTAAATAATCATCCCATCACCAAGTCTCATATTGAACATTTTGACAAGTGGACACTTCCATCAGTAGCCCCACTTTTCGAACATTCGACTTTCACCCTCCACCGGGTTCGTCTTCAACCCAAACTCGAAAGAGGGGTTTTGGGGAGCGTAAAAACGAAGAAGCATAAAGCATATGAGGAGGGGTGGGGTGGTGGCGGGGGGGACGGGGCGACTGATGAGACGTGTGAATGTGTCACTTGGGTGAGCAGGTGATGATGACGCCCAAGTCTCTCATAAAGTGAGGTCGCGGTGTTCCGACCCCGGTCCTAACTGTTGCAAAGTCGTTAAATTGGATCAAACACTCCGAAGTTAGTCTTACATTCAAAAAGCAATCCACGTTGAAACTACAGACCACGTAGGTTACATTTAATGACATCGAGGGATGGGAGAAAAGGTTCTCTTCGTCAGAGCAAACTCGGACGTTTACTTCCGAATAGCAGCATCGAAATAACCTTGTTGATTTAAACCCATACAAAATATCCCCCACCTCTTGCACAAATTGAGTGGCACAACCCTCCAAAAGGGGCGATTGACCGTTTCTCAAATAAAGACCCAAGTAAGCGGAATTCCGGCTTTTCCAATAGCTGAGGCATTTTTACCCAAAAAGAGCCCTTCAATTTTTGCCGTTAGAGAAAGTAGCTGTGTCCACCGATGTCCTGGTATCACTGTGTTTACTTTGTAGTCGGACAAAATTTAATGCTTCTTAGGGTTTAAATTTATCAAAATTGCTTCACTGTCAATCCTCCATTGGTATAATAAAAAATTATGTTGAGTTGAGGAAGACGCACGACAATCGAACTCAAGGGGTCATGTCCTCTGTTACACTTAATATTCCTGTCTGGCCGTCTCACTCAGACCGCTGGGGTAATGCAACGCTTTTCAAAATCCTGCAAGCTACTCGGTTAACAAAAGCTGTAAGCCCAGTAAACCGAAATTTAGCTCGATCCAAGACTTGATTTGATTTTCACTTCCACTTCGCGGCGCGTCTTTGTCCTTCGGCGAACCGAGGTCTTGAGTGATGATGTCAATGCACGGAAAAATTTAGCCGCGAAATTGAGGGCTAATCAGAACACTCTAACTATGGGACTGAAGTGAAAGAAATTTTTTTTCATGCTGAAGGCTATCAAGTTCGCTTTGTGGCGCTTCGATTGAGGAGACTGACTAGTCTTAGATTCACCAACACCGTTTGAAGCATTGACAACTAATCTACGGAGCGAAATTAAGGTGGCAAGAGTACAGTTCCAAAAAAATAAGTCAAGTATTGGCTTTTAATGTAGCCTGCGGTTAAAAAGTCCTCTGCTGACAGTTCGTGTTGCTAGTAACGACAACGCGGTGGTCTGGAACAGTAAGACAACAGGGTTAAGCACAAAACTAATTTGAAGGTGCCAAATTGTGTCGCCTTACGACACGTGCTTCTTCCGACCTTTGTGCTAAATAAAATGCAATCGTGCCCTTTTATGAGACCTTGATGCAAGTGTGATCAAACCTATGTACACACAAGCAAATTCGGAATCACCAAACCAATAGCGTTTTGCTTAAAGTCATTTAATATTGACGTAACTGGTAGGAGTCATCCACAAGTAGACGTTACTTCACTGAATCTTAAGAAGGTTGAAACTGAAGCCTAAAATTCTTGATTATTCAGAACCAACGTCTTAAAAGTATATGCTTCCATCAAAAGATGCTTTGTTGCCCTAACGAGGTTGCCGCCATTCCTTACTCGAAGTAGTATCGGAAACTGCTCGGATGTAGACACGTCTGGGTCTGTTTTCCTCAAAACGTGCCCAAGTGTAGTTCTCTTTAGTGGCTCCCCACGCACATACACGCATCGCCTCTCGCCAATAAAACATCCACCAACCTCAATACTGTTATCTCAGGGGTCGCAATGCACCTTTTCGCTTCGTTCGTATATTTTTCCGTGAGCAAAGAGGCTCTCTGTCAGGCTCCATGTGATGCAAATGAAAATGTCCTTTCCCGTAGACCAGACTGGAAAACTTGCATGGGTTAAAATTTTAATAAGTAATAGCTATTGGGGACGTATATATACACGGACTTAATCTGGGTGGTAGGGGTCAAAGTCAATTCTTCATGCTGTCCGTAGTTGGTGACAAATCTTGCGAAACGGACACCTTCGTCTCGCCTTGTAGAAATGGCCTCTTCCTGACACGGAAATTGAGGACCGAGGAGTTAAGTTGCTGAAAATGGGAGTGTGATACATTCAAGGCACTTTTTAAAAAAAAATTAACGAATCGGCAAGGAAACATGTAGAGTTTACTCACTCTCTTAATAATTGGCGTGGATTGTGTCTCAGCAAAGTTGGTGGTGTCCTTGAACGGCGGAGTGAGGAGCGTGGGATTCGCAGGCGGCACGTCTTTGTCCTTCGGCGAATCGAACTGCCCCACTTTGTGGGTGCCAGGACTGACTAGCGCCGACTCGAGCGCGACCACCCTCGTGCTTGCAGGCTTGGCCGGCGACCGACGCTCGCGTCTGCGTCGGCCGCCCATCGTAGTACAAAAGCGTAGACTGCAGTAGAGTGGTGGATCTTCAGATTCCTAGAGTAAAATTTAAAAAGAAACTCAAGTATTTTGTCAGTCCTGTGTCAGTGTTTACGAAAATGATTTGACTGAAAAATCAGGCCCGCCGTTTGGTAATCCGTTATAACAAGCAGAATTACTCAGGCGTAAGTATCAGTGCACAGTAAACTTCATTAGCTCTGTCCTTAAGTCATGCTAAAATCTGTATTCCCCTGCCAAATGTTGCGCGTGCCTCCACATTGCCAAGATCGAGTTGATAAGGGGCGAAGGGGCGACTAGAGCCCCTTTCCTTCTGATGCTTCAATTAATTTAGCCACAAGTCGTGATTATGTGAGGATGACTGGAATCAACCTGGGACCAGGATATTTAATCTCGGATTACTCGAGGAACAATAATGATTTTCAACACGGTGGCTTACAGTCCACCGATTAAATGCGGCCTACAGAACGCGTGACTAATTAGTGTTACACGAATATTGAAATCTCGGCACTGATGGTACACCGATGGTGCAACTGCAATACCTGATGTGCAACGAGGTTCCTGCGGCAGTCGTGTAGGAAGAGACGCGGCACTCTAAAGATGCTGATTGCTGCGGTGTCTGTGGCGATCATCTCACGTCTCGTGAGGTCGAGTAACATTTGGACAATTTGTGGGAGTCGTGGATTTGCGAGAGCTGCCGGTGCGGAGTCACGTTCTAAGAGGAATACGGGGGCGAACAGGACGGACACGCTGGCATCGTCCACTGCGCAGAGAGGCTCCGAGGTGACGTGCACGAGCAGGTGGCACAGGGGCCTGTAAACCAGGTTGAGGTGTCGCGAGGGCGTAAGTTGGAGGAGGAGACGCAGGGCGCGGCAACGCATGGCCTGCGAGCGGGTGCTTTGGCAGGGAACAGCCGGCAGACCGATGTCCACGTCGCAGTTCTCCGGCGTGGCCAGTTGCATGAAGAGGTGGTGCAGTCGCGAGGGAATAAGGGGCCCGTGGCGGCGGAGAATGCGGGTGAGCGCTGAGGCAATTGTAATTGGGTCATGGGAGGCAAGAATTCTGGAAATGATTCCAGACTCATCGAAAAAGGCAGATGCGGTAGACTTTGTGCGCAACTTGCAGTCGCCGCGAAAAACCTTCTGCCCAAAGAGCTGTTTTTCCAATTCGTTTACATGTTTCTGAACACCCGGACGACGGAAGATGAACTTACTGCAATCTGGAGAAACAGACACCTCTTCGATAAAATTTCGCACCTTGTCAAAGACAACACAAAATTGCACAAAATTAAAACTTACACCTCTTCTCTTGGAGTAGGTGATTAATCATTGTGTGAACGACATTGTACCAATGTAGTATTTCTTCTAAAAATAGATTACCAAAAGAATTCAGGTGAATAAATTTTGTGTTAAGACGTCAACGCTGTTGAGCTATCACAGGCGACCTCAACTAATTTGGACTAATTGTAACCAACTTAACTCGTAAGCCGGTTAGAAACTTACCTTGTGAAGCCCTGCTGCTGCTCCGTCCAGCAAGGAAGTTATTGATTTTAACAGGCGTGAGAAGAGATCGAGTTATGGGGGAACCGAGAGTGTAGCGTGAAGCCGATGTGCTCCTTTTCTTGCCTACCGTTGGTGCCTCCTGTCGACCGACCTCGTCAGCAATGCGGAAAAGGTCATCGGACTGGAAGTCGAGGAAATTCAGGTAGCTCGCAACGAGGGAGGTGAAGGTGCGGGGGTGGTTCAGTCGGAGTTCGCGCAGGGAAGCGTCGGGCTCGGCCAGGTCTTGGTCGAAGTGGTAGACGCAAGTCGTCAAGAGGGGAGGCTTGCCAACGAACTTGGCGACAGATTTCACGGACGCTGTTGAGCTGAGGGCGAGGTTTGTCCCCTGAAGGACGTTTAACTGCAAAAAACGCAGTAAAACATTGCTATCTATAGTTGGAAGGCGCTACTATCACAGATGCTGTACTCATTAGTGGAGGCACGTTATTTTGGTGTTAACGCGTTAATGACATGCGTCGTGTCACCTGATTAGCAACCGCGTGGTTGCTAATCCGGTGACCACGAGACAGATAAAACGGATTTACATGACATGGGGGACGGGGTAACAAATTGTGTTGTACTGATAACAATTTACAAATGATGAATGATTGATACATTTGTTCATGCTGCTACCGGACAAGAAAAAATTCCACATTTTAGTTAATCGAACACTTTTAAGCCTTATTCACTTCAAGAGCATTTGGAAGTTTCTGCTTGCACTAAGAAGTACATTTTGGGGAGTAAAAGCTTTTCCGAAACTCACCGCTGATTTTCCAAGAATTTTGATAGTGTCTGAAGTGGTACAGCCCTGGCCTTCTGGTGACAGGGACCTTTGTCTCCTAATGTCGCACAAAGAACGGCTTCGATGGTCACTTTTGAGACGAGTAGGAACAAATGCACCGAAAGCACGTTGAAACTTTCCATCTGAAGACTTTCTTCGCCAGGGAAAAGCAAGTGGTGACGCTCTGCGTTTTCTCTTCGATCCCTCTTCTGTAGTGTTACCGAAAATGGGGAGTTCCGAGAAGGATTTGACACCATTGGTGGCCATTTCCAGTCCTTGTTATCCTAAAACCGTAGATGCTTCTTGTCAATGCCCTCGCTATCAAATGACGACGATAAAGTTGTCAGCAAACTCCTAGGAGTCCACAAATCTTAACGCACCAATCAGGAGAGAGCATAATCTGTAATTCGAGCGTCCAATTGGACAAGTGACAGATTGACCAATTACCGTGAAGCGCGTAATCAGCAGCGAATAGTAACAAAAGCAGGTTAACAGAGGAAAATCAATACCAGATGCATCTTGTGAGAAATTAAAATTCAATTTTAAAAAAATCATTTGGTTAAAACTAATTGGAATTTCCAAGGCAAAATCAGCAATGAAATCAGCTGTACTACTAGTCAAAAAGTCGTTAATCTTGGTTTAATTGAAACCAGATTTAAGATAGTTTATCGCAGTAGCCATTTTAACTGAGAGAACTTTCTCAGTGATATGATAGATCCTTACAGCCTACAATTAAACTAAAGAAGCAATCAACCGAACGGTATTTATCTCCGGGTGGATTGCCGGGCGAAGCTAGCGTCACCGGAGACCACCACTATTTGAGTGATTTCCACTAACTTGCCCTAGCTTAAAGGGCTACATTTGAGTAGGAAAAATCAGTGAGCACAAAATGGCGTTTTACTGAAAGTGAAGCCGCTATACCCTTAAAATTTGCCCTTCAAAACCTCAACTACATTTCCAGATGCGTATTGTGTTTGGAAGGAGTTTTATTTCGACAATGGACCCGAATTATCCGAGGTATTAATGCTATGTGGTGATGGACACGTTATGCACCGCCAATACATGAACGCTGAAAATCTCTATTCTCGTAATGAGATTGGGATTTGGTGGTCAATTTGACATCGAAAAGTTGCTTCGCCTGGAAAAAGTCAGTTTGATCGTTAATAAAACTGAGTGGCAGAGGCGGACTTTGAATTGTGTTAATTAGCTAGAGGCACAATTACCTAATTTACACCGAGCGATTTTCACCTTTGCAAACTGACAACTCACGGCCAGACCGGGAGCCGCGGTCTGGCCGTGAATGGAACTCAGCCACAGAGCAACACCTGGTTTACGCGGCGCCTGAGGAGACTACTTGATAATTTCATCGGAAATAAGCTGACATCAGAGAATTAGACTGCAGACTAGAAATATTCGTCAAATTTGATAACTTAACGCGCAAAGCGCCAAGGTTTGGTTTGCGTAGCAGTATGCGGCAATTTTCCGACTTATTTTACCGCCCATTTGAGACTAAATTCCTAATATAAAACTTGCAAACCATAACTTTAGTCCAAAGCACAACACCACTAAGATTCGTCGTTGGTTTTTTACATTTTGATTAAGTTCAGGAGACTTACAAAGCAAAGTTTGCATGGAATGGATCGTAATCATGCTGGCGTCCACGGCCAACGCTCGGGGCGAAACTTATTACCTTAACATATTTCCACAAAATAGATTTAAGTGAGGTCTCGGGGGTAGATGTATCTCCCTCAGAGTGGAGGATGGAAAATGTGGTAGGGTCAGCACCAAGACGACAAACGGCAAGCATCTGTCAGCAGTCCGTTTAGGATTATGCCACGGAGTCTGAGACCCTAACCCAGTTACAACCCTCAAGCCAAACGATATATGCCTGATTCAGGTGGACCCAAAGATGGGTCCTGGCCGATTTTCTTGCCATATCTGGTTTAGCACTGAGGTGTAGATCTCCATTTGCCCTCACGCAGATCACCTGTCCCTCTACGATGGATCTTTTGGCTTGTGCACAACGGAACAAATAGATTGGAGATGACAACTTTTAACCGGGGCTAAATTCCACAATCGGCAGGTTGTGCGATTAGTCTTAGGCGGGGTACATCGGTTAATCAATTCAGCGTTCTGCAAGGTCAGATTCCCGCATGTTTCATCTTCATATTTCACAAGATTCAAACCTTTCGATAAACGGACCACGGATCCGTGGATAAGTTCAAGTAGGCGTTCAGTAGATTCCCGCCTGGTGTCGATTTGCCTCGAGAAAGTAGAGTAAGCGACACTTCTTAATCTGAAATGAATTCAGCCATTTACAAAGCGATCTCCATGTTTGCATCTTTCAGCTGAAAACAACGGAATCAGAACTGCTATCGCTCCTAGGATGGCGTTTCCTGCCAGGAGGTTCCAGTGGCGAGATGAAATTTTCTGTTTGAATTAGGAGTGCCGTGTCTAATTTTAAGTACCGGAAAAATGAAATACGGTGTTGATGAGTTGCTATCTGATACAAGCTTAGCAGCGGGACAATTTCTGTGTCAAAACAAGTCGTCCTTAAAATCTCTTAATTTCAAAAATAGGGAAGAATTTTCCCGCGTGTTGCCGTGGTGAAACGCGGTGTAGATCGAGTGCCGCTAACTTTTGGTTTTACGCCGGCTGGCTGCACTCACACTCTTGCATATGAACCGGCCATTTTTTGGGATTGCAGTATAAAATTTGCATCACACCATGCCCTGATGATACCGCCTCAGGCAGAACATCGAATTCTTAGAAGAAGGACTAGGAAGGCTATCTCGGCTACCATGAAGGCGTCCACTTTTAAATGGTGCTCACAATCTCTAACAGGGTTCACAATTCTAGCAAGAGTGCAAATATCCAAAAGCTGACTTTAATTGCAAGCGCGTTAGAAGAAACTGCCGAAACATGAGTTGTGTGTCTGAGATGCGTTTTATTACGCAAAGCAGTTGGGGAAAAATCAATAAATCGACTGTGAAGCAACTCACAGTTTGATGTCGAGCTTAATTTGTTTGGACACTTGTACACACTCTAGTCCAAGAGCCAATTCTACGTAGTAGCCATTATTTGGTCTAGAGAAGACGCTTCTTTCTACAAGGACTTGCAAACTGAGAGGAGGTAACGTTTGTCCAACGTGTGCTTCACCCAAACAGCGCAGCGGCTCTGTGTCCAAGTAATTCTCTGTTACCTTATGCAGTTGCATCCGTGAACGCAAATTTGGCTTCCAGTTTCGTTTCTTTATGGCCCAAGATTTGTTGTTACATCGTATACCAATGAGTCATGGTTCACTGTGAAGCAACGACATGTCAGGCCTCATCGCTTAGGATGAGGTCCCCTTGTTGATATTTCCCAAAGTAAACCAGCGAATCAAATGCTAAATTATTCGTGGATATATAAGCCGAAAACCATGCTGGTGCTGCTGTGGTGAACTCATATGCTTTGCATCCAGTACTTTGCTTAATTTTAAGCTAGTCTCATGGGATGAGGAGGTAAAAGTCATTTGTTTGGCTGATCACGGGTCGGTGGATGGATTTTAACGGAATCGAAGTGCTGAAGAAAATGTTTCCGAGACCATACTTTGCCTTTTACCAGGCAATGCATACCAAGTTGTGATTCAGACTTGCATCTTATGCGTTTTATTTTGGCCTACGATACCCTATGTAGGGACTCCCGTGTATGACGGGGATCTCACTCACTTCATTGATAAGGGAAGCCTATGAAGACATGCTCCCAAACCGACGTTTTAACAGTAAACAAACGTTAAGACTGAGAACCTAGTTTCTCTTAAGTGAATTCCGCCCAAGTTGTAAGTCGAACGATGGCAAGATTCACGGTGTTGCGGAATATTTGCCTGGACAAATGGAGGGTCATTTAATTCGTGGAGTTTTTTAGCACAAACTCTTAATGAGTTGCATGCCACGTCAGCTCAAGCTTGCCCCTCATATGGTTACATAAGTTGAAACCCAGATAAAGACAACTGACATGGCCCTTTGTTGTCGGATGCCATTAGTTTGCCTCTGGAAGAGTACGAAGTGGGTCGCTGATTTCCGTTAGAACGGCCTCAGGATGCTATACCTTGCTTTCTGCACTCTTCGTGGTGTCAGAGCCCCACATAAAAATTCAAGTTAGAAAACGAGTTTACGAATTCTCTGTATCATGTTGTTTTCCCCCGGATGTGGATTAGCTGAACTCAAGAAAAAAAGGCCCAGAAATCGACACACATCGCTTGAGTTGTGATCACGAAAAAACAGGGGAGGCACAGCTACGAGGGCAGATTAACAGCTCACCGTGACTTATGAGTGGGGTTCAGGACTAGTGTGAACGAAAGTGTGAAGGCTTAAATCTGATGTGCGAGGTGCGCACTACGCGTCAGACGTTAGGACGGCATGAACGTTGTTGCGAAAGTGAAGACTGTCGCTCAGACTAATGCAACGGCAAAGGTTCATTTGTGTAAGTGCAAAAACTGGTGCCTTACAGGACTGAGTTAAACTCACTAAAGCGAAAACTCTTTTCTGCTGCCTAAGTTTCACGTTTTTCTGATATCTCAACTGTCAATAAATAAAAAAGGCATTACTGATCCGAAACGTTAGATCATGATTGAAAATGTTTATGCTAGCTCTCATATCAGTGTTGCTAATAATCTGGGTATTGGGATGTCACTTAAATGCTATCATTATTGTCGAGAGAGACGGTAACCTTGAGCACTTATTTCTTACACACTGGAAATGCAAAGTTGTTATAAGACATGGACGGTAAAACGAAACCCCAATGGTATTGTAGGAAGAGAACTTAAGTCTGGTTGTGGCAAGGAGTGCGGTTACTTTCAATTTCTTGAAATGATGAAGGTGAACGCGAGTACAAGGTTATCTTGTTATATCTGTCTTTGCTTATGAACTATTTTGCAACAAAGTTTGCATAGTTAGTAGTAAACTTAGATTTTATTCAAACTGAACTATGACTGTCAGACATAATTTCGATTTTCAAAGCCCTGAGGTATTGCAGCCAGCAAATTTTAACCTAAATGGCTGTGGCACAGGCGGCTTTCCTGCTTTTATAGTAGTTGTGGACCAAAACTAGGATTTATCTTGCTTTATAAGTAAAATTGTTCGGAATATCGAAAAAAAGGGGCACAGCTTGCCTTTGTGAAGCGCTGATTCCCCTTTTCCCATGAAATGTGTTCAGACTTTAAAGGTGTGAAGTGTTTTCCCATCCGGCCCCGGTGAAGTGGCAAATCAGACGACCGTGAATTTATC